TAGGTTACTGTCTAGAAGCCTAATGAACGCATGATGCGCCGATTTTACGTCTCTCTTGACTACCTCTTGGGCCTGTGGTGCTAAACCCTCTGTGGCTCAAAGAGATCGTGTAGTTGTAGGAAAAGAACTATTATGCCTATGTAAACAAACATATAGTTTGCATTCTGCCTTATTTGTGTTTTTAAAAAAAATCAGACACCGAATCAAAGCATACCGTTAGCATATTTACCTTAAATAGGTTGTGCGAATTCAGCAAAACATCACATTGCACGCATTATAAGGGTAATCTGTGCGAAAAACTAAGAGTCGCTTATTTTTAATAGTAAGATGGATACGTCACTAACTGCCATGGTACTTGTTCATCACCTAGAGAGTTCTGCAACCTATATCACAGGCATTCTCTTTCTCGGGATGAAAACGTAAATGCAAGACAACATTGAAAGCAAACAATAGAGCGGAACACACCTGTAACCTTCAGGAAAGTCGACCAGCTCAACAAACTTGTTAATGCAAAGTGACCTAATTTATTTGGGGAGATTTACGTGAACCTAACCCGTAACATAAACTGTCTTCGGGCATGTGTGTGTACAGAACAGCCCAACAATGCAACTTACCAAGCTAAGGTTCAGCTTTTCGCAGAGAGAAACACGAGATCTCAGACTTCTCGCAGTTTCACGTTGCCGCTCGGTTACATTTATATACTACCCTTGTAACTGCAACGGTGTTACTGTGCCCAATATTTATTTTATAATATAAATTATACTCTGGATTTGAATAGGTTGAAAATAAATAAGCAAACACATGTTAGAATAACATGTATTATTTGCGTCAACAAACATATTGATCGGTTATTGTAGTAACCATTGTCAGAGTTCATATGTGGTGCGTGTAATCAAAATGTGAAATTAACAGCTTCTACTTCCATTCCGTTTTTTAAGCTGTTAGTTAATTTTCTGTAATGAAACTTATTATGCTGTGTGAACAGACACGCCCCAATGAGTCTGTTCCTTATCGTGTATTTGGTTGCTTGCGCCTTCTAATAAATACAAATAATTATTGTTTAGGGTCAGTCAATGGAAATAATATGTGTACATTTCATTTGTGAGATTGTTTTCGTTGATCCATTATTATTCTCTCTCTCTCTCTCTCTCTCTCTCTCTCTCTCTCTCTCTCTCTCTCTCTCTCTCTCTCTCTCTCTCTCTCTCTCTCTCTAGATATATATATATATATATATATATATATATATATATATATATATATATATATATACATATATATATATATATATACACACACACACACACACTGCCTGCCAAGAGCGTTGCACAAAGCACATAATCCGTAGTTCCAGCGCCAATCTCAAAAGGATCTATATGTATTCCTCTCTCTCTCTGTCTCTTTCTCTCTTGTGGAAATGTGTGCCTAGCATCTGAACACAGACACATACACAACTAAATGAATGCTCACTCAGACATACGTTGTTGGCATATTCCGGTTGACATCGTGGTATGTTAACATGGGACAGGGTGACATGGTGGTATGATGACATCGTGATATGTTAACATGTGACAGGGTGACATGCTGGTATAGTGACATCATGGTATGTTAACAAGTGACAGGGTGACATGCTGGTATGATGACATAAGGCAGGGTGACATGCTGGTATGATGACATAAGGCAGGGTGACATGCTGGTATGATGACATAAGGCAGGGTGACATGCTGGTATGATGACATAAGGCAGGGTGACATGCTGGTATGATGACATAAGGCAGGGTGACATGCTGGTATGATGACATAAGGCAGGGTGACATGCTGGTATGATGACATAAGGCAGGGTGACATGCTGGTATGATGACATAAGGCAGGGTGACATGCTGGTATGATGACATAAGGCAGGGTGACATGCTGGTATGATGACATAAGGCAGGGTGACATGCTGGTATGATGACATAAGGCAGGGTGACATGCTGGTATGATGACATAAGGCAGGGTGACATGCTGGTATGATGACATAAGGCAGGGTGACATGCTGGTATGATGACATAAGGCAGGGTGACATGCTGGTATGATGACATAAGGCAGGGTGACATGCTGGTATGATGACATAAGGCAGGGTGACATGCTGGTATGATGACATAAGGCAGGGTGACATGCTGGTATGATGACATAAGGCAGGGTGACATGCTGGTATGATGACATAAGGCAGGGTGACATGCTGGTATGATGACATAAGGCAGGGTGACATGCTAGTATGATGACATAAGGCAGGGTGACATGCTGGTATGATGACATAAGGCAGGGTGACATGCTGGTATGATGACATAAGGCAGGGTGACATGCTGGTATGATGACATAAGGCAGGGTGACATGCTGGTATGATGACATAAGGCAGGGTGACATGCTGGTATGATGACATAAGGCAGGGTGACATGCTGGTATGATGACATAAGGCAGGGTGACATGCTGGTATGATGACATAAGGCAGGGTGACATGCTGGTATGATGACATAAGGCAGGGTGACATGCTGGTATGATGACATAAGGCAGGGTGACATGCTGGTATGATGACATAAGGCAGGGTGACATGCTGGTATGATGACATAAGGCAGGGTGACATGCTGGTATGATGACATAAGGCAGGGTGACATGCTGGTATGATGACATAAGGCAGGGTGACATGCTGGTATGATGACATAAGGCAGGGTGACATGCTGGTATGATGACATCGTGATATGTTAACATGTGACAGGGTGACATGCTGGTATAGTGACATCATGGTATGTTAACAAGTGACAGGGTGACATGCTGGTATGATGACATAAGGCAGGGTGACATGGTGGTATGATGACATAAGGCAGGGTGACATGCTGGTATGATGACATAAGGCAGGGTGACATGGTGGTATGGTGTCATGGAGCAGGGTTACATGGTGGAATGGTGACATGGTGGTACTGTGACATCGTGATATGTTAACAAGTGACAGGGTGACATGCTGGTATGGTGTCATAGAGCAGGGTTCATGGTGGTATGGGTATGGTGACATGGGGCAAGGTGACATGGTGGTTTAGCTACATGGTGGTATAGTGACATGGTGGTTTGGTGATATGGTGGTTATGCTGAAATGGCGGTATAGTCACATGGTGGTATGGTGATCTTTTGGTATGGCGACATATTGCATGATGAAATGGGGGTATGGTGACAGGGTGGTATGGTGCCATGGCACAGGGTGACATGGGGCAGGTTGACATAGGGGTATGGTGACATAGTGATATGACAGTGTGGTGACATGGTGATATGTTGACATTGTGACAAGGTAAGAAAGGGACATGGGTGCATGGTGGCTAGCATGCTAGCCTATTTGCCCTGTGGTCGTAGGTTAAAATCTCAATCAAGGATTTTGAAAACTGACCTAAGCTTCTAGGTTGGCCTGGTCTAGGATGGATACTAGGAAATTTTGTGGGAAGTAAAGGTGGCCACTGTGATACTGAGCACATCACCAAAGAGTGCCAGCTGGAGTATGAGAATATGGAGCTAGTGGTATGTACCCAATATATTTGCAGGTGCAATTGAGAGGTGTTATTTACTTTACTTCCCATGTGGGTTCAGTGACCCCATTGTGGCTTCCCCCCAGTGAACATGTCATGAGAGTCGACTCATTGGGAGATTCCTTTGAAGTCAGAGGGCATGTGCCAAGAGGAAAGGAACAACAAACTGCACACAAATAAGTCATTAAAAGTGATAAGCACACAAAACTCGGGATCTGGCACAGAGCTAGAATCTAAATGGATGAAGAACCAGGACTTTCCGCAGAAGCTTACAGCTGGTGAAAACAGAAGAAGAAGGAGAGGAAGAAGACTTATTTACATTTATTTGTTAACTGTCCTGTTGTGCAGTTACATGTCACATAGGGCTCACAGTCTATTTCTTCATTCCATTCTATTCTGTGCAGCTGTTCCAATATCATGGATTGAATGCAGTTCAGCTCCTGTGGCTTCTCTCATCTATGTTTGCCTTAGAGTTTGTTTTGGACATCTTCGTATTTTTTTTTTTATACATAAATAGCTGTCAGAACACAAACACATGTGGCGAACACATAACATACATACATTATCATCATCATCAACATGTGCCCTGCCAACTGGTGTAGGCGCTCATGCGTCTCCATAGATCACGATCCCTGGATGATATCCCTTCATGCCATCATTTCAGCCCATCCAGCATCATCTCTCTTGGTTTGCTTCTACCCCTTTTTCCACGGATCTTTCCAGCTGTCACGATGTTCTCCACTATCTCTCTTCTCATTATGTGGCCAAAGAACAGTGTTTGGCTCTTTTTATAATATATTTTGAACATCATTATCAACAATTGCCTTGCCGACTCGTGTTAGCATATCTATTGTCTGCAACCTTCAACAACATGCTGCACACACTTTTCTAGCCATGACAAAAGGCTGTCTTAATCTTTTTCCACAGATCTCTCCAGTGGTCACAACATGCTCCAGTTTCCGTCTACTCATAGGATGACCAAAATATGATGACTGACTCTTTCTGATGTTAGTGTTATGTTGTCTTATCACATACATATGCACATTATATGTGCTACACATATATCTTCTGATGACCCAAAGCACCCACATACATTAGTTTGCAAGAACAAACACACACATGTCAAACACACATGACTCAAACATACACATATTTACACATTGTACACACATATAACATACACCACTTATATAACACAAACACATACATTACATATCCACACACACACAAAGACACACATTTATATGACTTGCATATACATGACAGAGAAGAAAACATTCTAACAGATACAGACATATATACATAGTACTCACATATATTTGACACAAATGCACATACATAACACACATATACAAGTACATGATGCACACATACAACACACGTCTAATACTTAGCAGAGATTACTCCAATATAATATTTCTAACAAGTTTTATTATTACAAATTGTATAATTGTTACACTTTGGGAGACAATGTCACTGTCAGGGTTGATAACTTTTTGTTAAATCTGGCATGTGCCACATCAACATCAATGGGACTTGGTAGCTTCACTTTCAGATCATACTGGCCAGGAACCTGCAGACACACGTCATCCTGTAGATAGTAGATAGAAGAGATATGTCTTCAATGGCTGTACTGTTCTGGACATTAAAACATTCAAAGAGCTAGCAACTGGGAGCTGTCCCCATGTGGTTTCTGCCTATTTTTTTTTTTGGGGGGGGGGGGGCGATTAGAACAGCCCCCCCCCCCTCCCCCCATAATAAGCATGTTGTAAAAGGTGACTAACTGGGGCCGAGTCCTTGGAAGTTGCAGTGCATCTGCTTGAGAGGAAGGGACCAACAATCTGATATGTAAAACAGATGAGCATGCAAAACTCGCAATTTCTTAAATGAAACCAAACTGAGACATGGTTGAACATCCAGAACTTTCCACTTGAGATTACAGCGGAGAAAGAGAAGACAAATGAGAGTTGAAATTATGGCAGTTCTAAACATTCCAAACAATGTTCACATGATAGGAATTGTAATAAAGCAGACACAGACTATATATAATATAATATAATATAATATAATATAATATAATATAATATAATATAATATAATATAATATAATATAATATAATATAATATAATATAATATAATATAATATAATATAATATAATATAATATAATATAATATAATATAATATAATATAATATAATATAATATGATATAATATAATATAATATAATATATTATAATATAATATAATATAATATAATATAATATAATATAATATAATATAATATAATATAATATAATATAATATAATATAATATAATATAATAGAATAGAATAGAAAAGAATAGAATAGAATAGAATAGAATAGAATAGAATATAATATAATATAATATAATATAATATAATATAATATAATATAATATAATATAATATAATATACCATGCAAAAATTATTGAATGTTATATTATAATATAACATAGTATATTATTATATAATATAATATAATATAATATAATATAATATAATATAATATAATATAATATAATATAATATAATACAATACAATACAATACAATACAATACAATACAATACAATACAATACAATATAATATAATATAATATAATATAATATAATATAATATAATATAATATAATATAATATAATATAATATAATATAATATTACGTAATATAATGTAATATAATATAATATAATATAACGTAATATAATTATTGCTTGGTATATTTTGCTATATCTCATCAGGTGCATTACTACAGTCACAATTAACAAATAACAAATAGTGAAGCACAAAAATGAATTCTTGCCACTGAAATACACAGATAACAATGTTTTCACTAGTCACACCGTACATCTCACCATTGGATGGGTACCATAGAAAACTTATATTTGCAACATGGTCTTTTTTTCTGCAAAAAGTGAGATTGTTTATTTTTTATTGTCCCAGCTTTGGCTAAATTCAATAATTATCTGTTTGGTGCGTGGTAAATTCTTAAAATTGCTTGTACCCACTTTAAAAATATGGGTTTACCCTAGAGCTGCTATCGCTTAAAAAAATTAACTCTTTTACTGCTGGGAATTGAACCCAAGACCTGTCTGTTTATAGGCAAGTATACTGAGAGGTAAGTGATTAAATATTGGTGGCTACAATTAAACTGTTATCAAGTAATGAATTTACTACTAAACACAAGGCATTACTGAGAAGCTCAACAAGGCAGAAATGAAAAAAAATAACGTACATAGGTAAAATTCAGAGGCATAATACTTGGTATTCAAAAAATTACATCACACCCTGAGTTTGTTACAAAGAATACAGTAAAAAGACACTCACACCCTTAGTTTGTTACAAAGAATACAGGAAAAAGACACTATCACACCCTTAGTTTGTTACAAAGAATACAGGAAAAAACACTGTCACACCCTTAGTTTGTTACAAAAAATATAGGATAAAAATACTATCACACCCTCAGTTTTTTTTTTTTAAAGAATACAGGAAAAATAAACTATCACACATTCAGTTTGTTACAAAGAATACAGGAAACACCCTCAGTTTGTTACAAAGAATACGGGGGGATGGGGGAGGGGGGGGGCTATCACACCCTCAGTTTTTCATTAAAGAATACAGGGAAAATAAACTATCACACCCTCATTTTGTTGCAAAGAATACAGAAAAAAACTATCACACCCCCAGTTTGTTGTAAAAAATACAAGAAAAAAAACTATCACACCCTCAGTTTGTTGTAAAGAATGCAAGGAAAAAACTATCACACACTCAGTTTGTTGTAAAAAAATACAAGGAAAAAACTATCACACCCTCAGTTTGTTGTAAAAAATACAAGGAAAAAACTATCACACCCTCAGTTTGTTGTAAATCTAAGAGACAAGATCTTTCTTGAGAAAAGTCCAGCCCTGTTTGGATTTGAACCTACAGCCTTCAGATCCATGCATCTAGCTGCTACACTACTGAAGCTCCAAGTTGTGATAAAGAGTACCCCCCCCCCCCCCCCCCCCCCCCACACCCTTCTAACCACCCCTTAAAAACAACAAAACAAAACAAAATAATAATAATAAATAGTACTAACCTCTGAAATATCAAGTTGACATTCAGACACAGACTCAACTCCTTGCAGGTCCACTTTCAGCACCAAGTCTCTCCTTGGCCCTGAGTTACAAGTTTCCAGTGAATACTTGGGAGTTTTCACGTTGCCATCATCAAGGACTTCAATGAGGCCCTTCTTATTTGCAGAACCAGAGCTTGTAGTCAGTTTTATTTCTGGGATTTCTTCTCTGGAGGTGTGGGTGTCTGCATCTGAAGAACTTTCAGAACTGTCTACAGCTATTCTTGATAGCTGAGACAAAAGACTGCCTTTTTCTTGGGAGGTCAAAGGCCCAAATGTACTCTCGAGTTCATTAACATGCTTATCAAATCTGTGTTCCTCTTTTTTAAACAATTTTGAAAAGCTTTGTCTCAGGTAATGTATGTCTCCTTTATGTGGTGTGTCTATGGGGAGTATGGTGTAGGTTCTTGTAACCTTCACCTTCTGCTCCTGCTCCACATAGTCGAGGGCTAGTTGTATCAGAGTGTCACAGTCGACAGTGTTTGTGGCATTTCGTCCAAACTTTTCTAACACTCTAGGGTTGAAGGCAACACAGGTCACTGAAAATTTACCTGAAAAATGAAAAAAAAAGGTTCTAAATATTTAAGAAATTGGGGATGGCAGTGGGTCTCTTGAGTTTTCCCCACAGCTGCACCTGGGTGTAACCAGGGGGTCTGGCCGGCTCACTACACTCAGAGGAAAGGCAAGACGGACATATAACCAGATTGTGACCGGTACCATCAGTATTGGAACTCTGCACAGGCTGCTGAAGATGAGGACGGAGCATGCATGCGAACGCCCCAAGTGCTGCGATGTCAATTCTTGACTCAACTCAACTCATTCCCCACCGCCTAGCCATGGAACTCACACAGGGATGTGTACATATGCTAGACTACATAGTTTTCTGACTGACCAGTTTTCTTTTTCACTACATTTTTTGTCAATTTAGGCAATGTTCTTTGATAATGTTATCAAATGAAGAAGATGAAGATGGCTTTGACATGTTTGCAGAATGATTTATAACACTTTTGCAAGGACAGCTCTTCTGTGGACAGCAGATGAAAAAAGCAGATGTGGATAACACCTTAAGGACAATAAAAAGTAAAATGAAGGAACAAAAAGTGACACAGGATACCATAGATAGAAAAGCCGCAATCCATGAGCAATGGAGGTACTTGTAAATACGTTATAAACCAACAGTGACATGAAGAGGCAATATATACGAGAGAACGTCACTAAGTAAGTCACAATTCCACCAACACTGATGAACTTGTCTCATCGTTTTATCAGTCCTCTCAAACCTGCTGCATAGAACTGCATACTCTGTTTTCTAAACCACATTTTCACTTCACATTCAAAAATCAAGTGAAATAGTCCTAGCAATAAACTGTGCAATGTATAATGTATTGACAATTATGATCAAGCCATATACAATCAGGAAGGAGACAAGGGGAAACCACTGTGCTATCTGTTTCTTATAAAGTATGCTTCTCAACTCACTAGATTTAATTATATTGCTTGCTATTAGAGATCTCAAGATGTAGTGAAGTGTATGATTATTCACATCAGTCGGCAAGGCATTTGATTCTTCTTCTTCTGATTTTTCCCTAAAAGGGCTTTTGGCACACTGCATTGTTGCTCACAGCTAGGCTGCAATATCTGGGTCGTCTGGCCAAACACATTACATTTTAGAAAGGCCTTAATTAGTAACCTTTTACAACAATCTTGTAAAGGGGATCTGGGTCTATTCCACACCCTCCCCTCCCCAACCCCACCCCTTATGGAGCTTCCATACCAAAATGGGGAAGGCATTCGATTAATCTTATTGTCCCCAGAGAACAAAGTGTTAAATTATGATTTATTTGTTAATTTTTAAATTTCTAACCTTTGTCATCTTTATCTGGAGTTATTGGTGTCCCAGTTACAGGAACAGGATCTTCTGAGGATTTGGGCTCTGATATTCGTATCCAGGAGAAAAAATTAACAAACAATGGTTGCCTTGACTTGCCCTGTCGAATACAAAACAATAAACCAAAATGCTTAGCAACACATTTAGTCTAATGATTTTGTACATATGATTCATATAACCAGTTATCTGATTTTGATATCCTTGATATTTGTATCTCATAATTTTTTTTCTTCTATTTTTTCTTCTGTGTTCACTGGCTGTAAACAGTACCGTTTTACAGTATAGTTTATTACATTTATGTAAAGTAAACAACTGATAATTCCATTTGGATGCATACAGGGTAAATGGTGCTATTCCCTTATTTTGATTTACCAATCAGCAATGTTGTCTGGGTTATTGTTTGTTTTTTCCCTCCATACAAAAATAGGTGAGGTACTCAATACAAAGTGATAAGGAAGGTCCTAGTGGTCAGCACAAAATGTCTATTAAAGTACGGCTGAAATATGCCTACCAAAAGGTACCTGTACTGTGTAACCCCCTGCATGCTTGCCCCTCCCCCCCCCCCCCCCCCGATTATTTTTTTTTTTAAATTATAATAATAAAATAATCATTGGAGTGGTAAATATCATTTCAATCATATTTCTTCTGATAATATTTTCTAGTACCCATTTACAAGCAAGGTTGACTTAGAAGCCCATGATCCCCTTTCCCCTAACATGCATGTCGTAAGAGTCTACAAACTAGGTCTGCATACAAATAAGTCAGGAACACAGATATGCACCATAAAACTGAAGTTCTGGAGCAAGACCACAGTCTAGAAGTAGACAAGCAGCCAGAAATTTCCTCTGTGTTTACAGCATGTGAATGCCACGATGAAGAGGAAGATGCCCAGGACAATGTTTAAATCCACCTTGCTTCCATCTCCATTCTCAAACTAGAGGTTGTAGTGTCAACAACAACATCTCCATTCTCAGACTAGAGGTTGTAGTATCAACAAAAATATTTATATGAAACATTTCATTTATAAAAAATTTTTTTTGTTTTTCACCTTTTAAACTTGTAAGTTAGGCATTTGATGTCATTACACAGAATGAACAAAGGAGCATGTTATTCTAAAAACTAGCGGTTCCTCCCGTTGTGGACTCTAGGGCTCCATTTGCGAGAATAAAGAATAGACCCACAGTCCCCATAACAAGCATGTCATAGGAGGCCACTAATCAGGGGTGTTTATTTTAAACTCGGAGTGCATCTTCCTGAGAGGCAAAGTACCAACAGTCAGCATACAAATAAGCTAGATTTGTAAAATGGATATGCATGCAAAACTCAAGTTCTGGATCAAGACCAAAGCCCATGAGTGGACGAACAACCAGAATTTTTGGCTCGAGTTTACAGCCAGTGAATGCTAAGAAGAAGAAAAGAACATAAATCAATGTGACAGAAGCATTCAGGCATAACTATTCCTGATGGAAGCTTATTGCAACAATGGCACAATGTTTCTGAAGACATCGTAAAGAAAATGCTTATAATATGTAATGGACTGATACTAAAGTAAAGTCAGTTACTTTACTGTACCAGAAGTGTAACATGCACACACATATGGGGCTCAGGTGGCACGACATGTTCCTTGGCTTCTCTCAGCTGTCGCTCAATGAAATTTTTGTAGGCAGCCGGACTATTTTCTGACATGTCATCCAGCATGGCCCAGATCTGCTGTGCCTGTTTTGACATGGCCTCTGTGTTGATACCTTCCATTGCTGTCCGAAAAAAAAAAAAATTTTTTCAAGTGATACATGACCACCTTTAAAAGTGTCACAGAAATGACAATAAACATCATTCATAGTCTTGTAGGGGATACATAACAGTCAGGGAGTCACGTGGCTGAGTGGCTAGATGCATCGGAAGGTCGTGGGTTTGCTCCCTGGCGGAGCCGGACTTTTTCAAAAATTACCTTGGCTCTCAGGTCGACCCAGCCTTGAGTTGGGACCGGGTGCAGTCCCGGGAAGTAGAGGCGGCTGGCGTGATGCTGACCACTTCACCCATCTTGTGCCGATTGGTCTAGCCCTATATGCCTAAAGGCATGGAAAAGGGTCCTTTACTTTTTTACTTATAGTCTTGTAGCCTGTCATTATTATTGTTAAGGATGTTAAAAGTGTTAATTACTTGACAGCACTGTGCATACGAACATTGTGACGTGATAATGACAGCTGAAAGATGGTCACCACGCTTTTGACATGCACCAAGGAGAAGCAGTGTTCTGTTATCCATTTTTTTCTAATCAGTGAAAGCTTGGAAGCAAATAAAATGCATTGGTAATTGAAGGTCCAGTCTGATGGAAGTTTAAAAACAGCATGCCTATCCTGGTTGGGAAAAACATCTGTCACAGAAGTTACACTCTTTCAACATCTTTAACAACAGTATTGACAGGTTACAAGAACAGAAAGTTCATGGTTAAATTTCATTTATAAAACACTTTTAAGGTTTTCATTTGAAGCGCCCTTGTATGTGTATATTTGTATCTGTGAGTGGCCATGCGTGTGTATGTGTGTGTACTACAAGTGCATACCGGGTCACTGGTCTTGTCTTGTGCATAATATTAATATCAACAAACACAGCACTAACTATGAGATGCTTACGGTATACGATGTAGCTACTGCAGTGGCATACATGAGCCATGGCAGCAGCGAATCGAGCATCACCCAATTCACTGAAATTATCAGACTTTCTCTATTGAATTACTATTACTATACTATATGAATAATTATTAGTGTGTGAAAATAAAAAGCATATCTCTGTGTCGCTTACTTAATTTATACTGTGTCATAAAATGTCAGTGAGAAACAATAGACAATGAAAAAGAACTGTTTTTAAAACTCCTATATTACCGAGCAGGTATAGAAAATGATAGCTAATTTGGTGTTCACTTTTTGTACCTACTTTAAAACTGTTAGAGTCAGCACACAATCGCTTGACTACCAAAGCGTCCTTGGTATGCGTTCTACGTCATTAATGCTTCTAACACATAAAACCGAAAACAACCGCAATTAGTTATACGCTTACGACAATAGTTATAAAGTCAAGTATTTTCTCGAATCACTTCAGGTAAAGCTAAAAATTACGTTTTCATTTATCAATAAATAATCATTTAATATCTTTTTGTTCAAATCCAGAAATGAATGTCACCTTTAAGTATGCCATTTACGTCATTATAAATCATTTTAAAAAACGAAAACAACCGCAATTAGTTTACTGCAAAAGTTGTAAGCCAGGGTATTCCTGGATCACTTCAGATACAGCCCAATATTACTTCTCATTTAACAATAAATACACTTCAAACACATTTTTTGTCGTACCCAGACATGTTTGTCACCTTTTAAAGGAATAAATCTGCTAAATTTTCCCAAGTAGTTGCTATGGTGACGTACTAAAAATAAAATTCACGTCACAGAAAGAAAATGGCGTCGGCAGGGTAGAAATCTGAACAGGAATCCAAGGCGTTTCAAAGTCACATTGGTGTTCTCAGACATACATACCCGTTCTTTTCACGACAGATCATGTCTTTATTTGTTGAGTGTACCCCGCTGCAGCTCATAGGAGGAGTGTGAGTGAGCTTTGATGCATAAATAGTCTGTTTCGGTAAGTGTGAGTAAAGAAGTGGTTTCTCATGTAGTTTCACATGAGCTGTTTGACCACTATGCTAGTTGCTAGCTATGACTGTCGGAATGTATGCCAGCATTTGTTATATGAATGTGTGTGTGTGTATATATATATATATATATATATATATATATATATATATATATATATATGGGTAGTGCATTGGAGATAAGTGTGTGGGTGTTATTAATATTAGTGTTTAAACTGTGCATACACATACGTAGATTTATTGTATTCTGTATTGCAATAAATATATTGAAGTGGTGTGTGGGCGGTAGTATAGTACTAATTCGGCTAATACATATTTTAAAGAGTGGGGTGGATAAGTAGTTGTGTATCCTTTCTTTTCATGACGTTGCAGAACCAACCCCAAAATTTTTTGACTTGTGGGTTTATCTAGGTCAATTTTGCATTCAGTAGTTTGCCATTGCTTTCTCAACTGTCAGCTCTTGGTACTACTGTCAAAACTAGCGCAAGACAAATCATCTGCTACCAAGATAGAACCGGGCACCACAGCATTACAAAGAGCGTTCGCACTGCCTAAACCCGAGCTAGAGTTCTACAGAGGGCTTTTTAGTTTTGTTGTTTCTGTCAGAACACAGTATGAATATCAGCACATTTCTATAAGCCATTTTTTTTTTTTTCTTCAGAAATGCAGTAATAGATACTTTGCACTTTGGTAAGCACCGATATTGTAAAACCCTGGTTATATATATTTTATTCCCAGCAATCCTTGCTCCTTAGTCCTATGTTTTACTCACTGAGTTGCTAGCACGAATATACATGGTAGCGTGAATATAACTGGTAGCGTGAATATACCTAGTAGCTTGAATATACCTGGTAGAGTGAATATACCTTTTAGATTGAATATACCTGGTAGCTTGAATATGCCTGGTAGCTTGAATATACCTGGTAGCGTGAATATACCTGTTAGCATGAATATACCTGGTAGCGTGAATATACCTGGTAGCGTGAATATACCTGGTAGCATGAATATACCTGGTAGCGTGAATATACCTGGTAGCGTGAATATACCTGATAGCTGAATATACCTGGTAGCGTGAATATACCTGGTAGCTGAATATACCTTGTAGCGTGAATATACCTGGTAGCTTGAATATACCTGGTAGCATGAATATACCTGGTAGCGTGAATATACCTGTTTTGTTGCAGTCTTAGATAACTTCTGTTGCTGTCTTAGATAACTGTTGTAGCTGTCTTAGAAAACTTGTATTGCTGTCTTCTACTGCTTTTGTTGCTGTTCTAGATTCCTGTGGGTTTTGTGGGGGGGGGGGGGGGGGGGGGGGGGGGGGGGGGGGGCTGTCTTTGTTATCTTTTGTTGGTGTCTTAGATTACTTTTTTTGCCATCTTAGATTACATTTTGACTTGCCTTAGATTACTTTCCTCACTAATAACTAATATTCTTTCATTATGTTTTTAGATTTCTCTTCTTCTTTTTGTGAATCTGTTAAGCAGCCAGATTTAATCTGCAGAGAAAGGCCGAGCTGTGTGGAATAAAACCTAATGTATTAAAGTTGGTCCTCTTACCAATTCTTTTTTAATTCTTACTCTCCTCAGAAACATGCAAACACTTGAAAACACAACCTAGTTTTTATTTGCTGACACTATGCCAGTTTCCTCGGCGGCATACAACAGGTACATAAAATGTTATCGTCGTCTGTAATTGTTTTTGTTTATCTAATGGAGACGCCCCCTTTAAAACAAAATGATCTTGGCTGCCATATCGCCTATCCTTAAATAAGTACCAGGTAAAGTCCTGATAAGTAAAGGTGGTCGGTAGGATGCTGACTACATCTCCCACCGAGTGCCGGCTGATCTACAAAATAAAGGTCTAGCCCTTATGCTCAATACGCCTGAAGGTGTAGAAAATGGTCTTTGTTTTAAATATTTATGTTACTGTTATGTTTATCATTCAGTTGTAATACACCACCAGTTTTCAGGTGAGTGTTTGGCTTTGCTGTGTCATGGTATCACATGAAGCATTTTATATGATAATTATTTATTTTTGTCCAAACAGCTAATTTGTTTACAGGGCTGTCTAAGATGGTACCAGTTAGCTAACGCAGTTTCCAGTCATTCCCAGCTCCCAAACATTTCCAAATGCTTTAGGGCAAAATAACAATGTTAGACTTGAAAAAAGTTACAACTCTGGAAGAGAAGGAGTTAGAGTAATTGATGGGATAAGAACGAATGAATGAGCAACTTTTCAGAAGAATAAAACTTGGGTATACAAGCCCATATAACATTCTGAGCTTTTTGCCACTCCTTACATGCAGTATGTCTTTCAGAATTATTTTATAGGTAATAATAAACATTATCAATGACATCTAAATGTTAATTACAAACACAGGAATGTGCTGTAATTATAATACTTAAAATGTTTGGTTTGCTTTATACAGCAGATGAAAATTATGGCACAAGGGTAGTAACCTATTAGTGCTCAGTTCTACTTCTAACTCAAGACTGATTTTGAAGAATCTCAGCGCATTGCACGAACTCTCTAGCACCGGCGAGGATTCTGAAATACTTTGGGTAGATTTTTAACTCCAGATTTTGCCTGGGCAGCACCGTTAGACTACTCTTTTAAATTTCCAACTGCCAAGAGATTTTTTACATGCCCAACAATACACACGGGTGTCCGATCTTACTACCCAGAGACCAGGGGAAATTACAAGAAGTCTGCATGAAAAAATCTTAGCCTTCACTGAGGTCAGAACCTCCATCACTCGAGGTGGACGCCATGCCTAAAGACCACTCAGCCCCCTTAAGAGGGAGTATCATGTCATAAACAGAATATGAAAATGACATACTAGAGAGATCCCAGGTTTGGCCCGTTGACATTCAATTGGAATCCAAACTGTATAGAAAGGTAAAAGGGTAAAGTCGGGAGATGTGAACCAGCGTCATTGCACACGGTTATAAACCATAAGTTCTTTGCCACCAGTACGGACACCTGATAAGAAACTGCCCGCCTGTGTCGTACGTAACTCCGTAGCTACAGCGACGTTCCTCCATTCACCCCAGAGTGTCAGTTCTGGTACCCATTTGCTAGAGGCTGGGTGAACCCCGGGAACTGCGCGATTTCAAATACCGACCACGGCTGCAGCGCGTCGCAGCTGGATTTAAAAGCGAGCCTCCTATCGACTGCGCTAATGCGGCTCCGATATAGAAGACATTCTTTGCACTACAGACTTCCTAGGGCCTGTGACCTTCTTGTGTGAAAATCGCCGGCAAGGAAAACAATAAGAAGAAACAAAGAAGTGACAAGCAATGTGTATTATGTCTGGAACAAGGGCAGATAATATTAACTCATCGTTATGTAGCAGGTCCCTTCCATCTTTGTACTGATCGGCTCCTGCACCTCTTTCCTGGAACTATGCTTTCTTCTGTTATTCTTTCCTTTCTGTCATGAGCCTTGATATTGTGAATATATTTTATTTTTCATGACGAAATGCTGTTTACCAGCCAACCTTCCTTAATGTTCAGATCTTTTGGAATGTCAGTATTTCCTGTCTTTTGGAATGTCAGTATTTCCTGTCTTTTGGAATGTCAGTATTTCCTGTCTTCGTGGTCCTCTAATGTTAAGTAGTAAGATAAAATGTCCAGTTCTCTTCCTTGTCAATTTGCTTCCCCGTGTCTTTTTCGGAAAAAATGGTTGGCAGGGCTATGAATGGAACAGAATCAGCCAGTATTGTGTACAACATGAGAACAGCAGGCTACAAGGCAAGAGGTCGACCAGGAAAGAGATGGGTGGAGGAAGTGAAAAAATACACTACAGAAATGCAGTGTGACATTAACACAACTTACACTATGCGATATGAGCAGTAGGAAAAAGAAGAAGTACATTTTATGCACTTACTTGTGGTTGTTGTCTGAATCTGATCCCAAATGACAGTACCTAAATGGCTCTGAGATTCACCTTAATCCAAATTTGATCCCAAACAGAGGCTATATATACATGTATACATATCAAGGTTATGCAGCTAAGAGACTAAACACCTGCATGTGTTCTCAGGATACATCACGATTGCTAAATGTTTCTATCTTCAGTTTTGAATGTTACTTAGTGAGTATCAAATGAACAAAGTTTATTTGCAAAAGGTTACAAAGGTAAGACAGTAACGAATGTAATTACAGGGTGTTGCAGAACCAACCCAAGCATTTTTGGGCGATTTGTAATTTTACTAGGCAATCTTACATTCGGCCCTTTCAAATACTCATCTTTCACACAACATTTGTATTTACTTTATCAAGCATAATATGTTCATTTAATACAATTTATAGTATGAATGTAAAGCTTCTGAAAAGCTTCCAGCATTATTGAATGAAGCTGAGATGTCTCATTTCTGTCTGTTGCAGTTTTGTGCCCTCTACAACGTATACAACGTCTTATGGAGGTTCTGCTGCAGTTCAACGGGGTTCGGCAGGTGCTCGAAAGTCCAGCTTCGCAAGTAGCTATGCATCTCACAGCACAGCCCCCAGTGTCAGGTATGTCATCACAACAATTTTTCAGGAATGGAAGATGGACGAAAAGAGGCATATTGTATTTAACCCTGTCACCTCAGGGTGGCTAAATCTAGTCACATCCAGTTGTCACACAGCCCCGTACGTGCTAATGAGGTGCCATTTCTGCAGTGGCCTGTTCTCTACAAGTTTATGTAAATGCTGTTGGTTCTAGGTGCACATGCCTCCTGTTTAGAAGGACCGGATGTGAAAATATGTTAACTAAATGTAGCATTTCATACAAGTCTAATTGCTTTTTTTTAAAGCCAGGTTGACCTAACAATTTTCCTGTAAGCTTCAGTGATAGAGGTCATAGGGTCAAGGCATGAGCCACTCAATACATATTTATTTTAGGCACCGGGGAGTACATTCTATTTAATGTGTCATTCTGCTCTTGATTACTAATTACTTCCTTTATATATCTATATATTTTGAAACAAATATTTTTAAAATATAGTTAAAAAAGGGAGCGGGGAGTTGTTCGTAATATGTAACCCGTTGTGTTTGTAAAATTTAACTCTTTGTTTTTGTAGCATTTAACCATCTGTGTTTGTAACATTTAACCCTTTGTGTTTGTAACCTGTTACCTTTTATATTTTTAATTTTAACATTACCGCTTTGTGTTTGTAAAATGTAACTTTTGGGTTTGAAACATTTTACCCTTTGCACTTGTAACATTTTACCCTTTGTGTTTGTAACATTTAACTGTTTGTGTTTGTAATGTATGACACATTTTCTGAATATAATCCGAAAGGTCTATCTTAAGTTGAACATTTAAAATGCTGTTTGTGTGTGTGTGTCTGTGCGCGTCGCTTTTATCACCCAATAAAACAGACCCTATTCATAATGCATGTAGCTATAAAATAGATAAGAAAGTTTTTCGCAGAAATGTGACGATATTTGAGGTTTTGAACAACGGATCAACATCATGGCACATGGGTAGTAACTCATAAGTGCTCCGTTCTTCTGCTAACTCAGGTCTCAGTCCAAAGAAGCTCAGCACAGTGCACAGGCTCTGTAGCACCGGCGAGGATCCTGAAATACTTTGGGTAGATTTTTAACTCCAGATTTTGCCCTGGCAACGCCGTTAGGCTACTGTTTTTTATTTCCAACTGTCAAGGGATTTTTTGCGTGCACAACAATGCACACGGGCGTCCGATCTCACTACCCAGAGACCGGAATTACTAGAAGTCCAAGTCCACGTGAAAAAATCCCAGCCCTTAACGGGGATTGAACCCAGAACCTCTAGCACTCGAAGCGGACACCATGCCTCGAGACCACGCAGCCACCCTGACGATATTTGAAAATGAACAAATGCATATTCAGGCTGTTATTTATTAGCTGTTATATCTTCCTGTGTGGGATCTCACCCATTGGGGAGGGGATAGACCCACTATCCATATGAAGCCGGAGTGCATCTGCATAAGATGGCAGGAACCAACAGCCAGATCTGTAAAACAAATGTGCACTCAAAATGCAAGTTCTAGAATTGGACAAAGAACTTTCCTCTAGAGTTTACACCCGGTGGACGCTAAGAAGAAGCAGATTAGCTATTATTATCTCCTTCAGTCCTAAGCAAAGCATCATACATTCATAGGTTACTACCTACACTCCCAGTGAACGCAAGATGTGCAAGCTATATGTGTCTTTTTATTATCGCTGGGGTCTCTGGTGCTAACCTCCTGGGACTGAAGTACTTAATATGGAAGGCTTGTTTTAACATTAATTTATGTATATATTCTTTTCTTGATCTTTTCATTTTTGGTAGAATACCATCTCGCCCGTTACCACCTGGCCCTGGACCATTGGACAATGCTGGGCGGAAGCTGACAAGGTACAATGTTTCCTCAACTCCTGTTTCCACAGAGACGCGGCGCAATCTTACTCCAAACGGGATTACCTCCCGCATTGGGCCCTTGAAAGCTGACCACTATTCCATCGGTGCTTCCAGTATCTACCCCTCCTCGGATCATGGTAGAAGCAGCTACAGCACGTATTCTCGCAACACAGGAACCAGTCGACTTTACAGTGTCAATCCAACATCCACGGTGAGAAGTGATTTTCGCACAAGCACTTTGAACGGAATAAGTCGACCAGGAAAATCATCAAGCTTGATTGATCTTTCCAGCTTAAGCATCCACGATGTAAACCATTCCTCAAATAGGAATCGTGCTACGAGTGTCTTTAATGATAATTATGTGCCTGTTGGCAGAACCTCCAATGTCACTTCTCGCAGTCGGAATTATCGAGACAACAGCAGTGATGACATTTTCGGTCGCAGCAGCCGGACTTCCCACTTGGATGGGGAGAGGCCCGATGGCACCTCAAGGACACGTTATACGGCAAGTGTTTCTCGAGATATGAGCCCCACGAGTCCAGGGTCTCGGCGTCTGGGGCTGTCAGGTGATACTGATGATTCGCCTACAAAGTCTTCCTTGAGCAATCTGAGTTCGAGCAGCTCCATGTCTAGCGGGGTAAGTTGTCCATGTGGTAATTCTTTTCCTTTCCTGGGTCTAGTACCATGAGTTGTATAGTCTTGTTAAAGTGATGGCTGGGGAACACTAATACTGGACAAAGGCGACAATCTGGAGTCGGTTTATGAACAAATGCTCATAGAAGACAAGAGTTTGATGAAATAATTTGTCAGATTGTGTGATCCAGGAATTAAGTGCAGATCTTAGGGGTTGGAGGTGTATGAGAGGAAGAGAGCGATGGATGCATAATCACTTTGCTACAGGAACATTTAATATCTACAGCTTAAGATATATCTAATGTGAGAGATAGAGCATCTGATGAGAGATAGAGCATCTGTGGGTGTGCCCATTGTGCTATGACGTCTATCCTGAAATCAGTAAAATCGGGTCCTGGATCCAGTCAGGTGACTTATTTATGGTTGTTCTTCTTATGCTACAAGCATTCTTGTAGCCAGTAACCATTTCCCATTCATTGATTACAATTTCGTGATGAGAATATCTGTATTCACATACATTCTGATGTTCACATAAATTCTTTGATTAAATTCTCGTAACAAGGTGTATTACGTTACATTGTTTGGTTCTTCATAAGGATGAAGCATTTGTCCTGTCGGGGTAGAGTGAAATCAATTCCTAATCTGCACAGGTTGTGGCGACTGCACTAACCACGCAGCTGTAAATCTTTAGGCTAAAAATTACCTTCATGCCCGACACTGCAGTTAAATAAAATAGTGCTAGCTGTCAGTACCTATACCTATCACTGTAAAACGTAGACCTTAAGATCATAACTTGAAAGAAAGATAGAAGCACTTGAAATGAGATCTGTTCAGAAAATCATACAAAGACTACATCACGAATACCGATGTTTATTGTATCAGCATTCAATGCATTGGCGACTGTGAACCTATTTATTTTGTTGGTAACAGTGGAACAGCTAAGAACGCACGCTCTCATGCTGGAGACCCGAGTTCAAATCCTCAGTGAAATTGGGGGTTTTGTTCTATCAGGGGCAAAAAATGAAATCCTAACCTGCACAGTCTGTGGTGGCAGCACTAGTTATCTGGCCTGAAATCCTCACGTTCTTTCTCTTCTTTATTTTTCTGTCATTCTCTCTTTCTTGTTCTCTTTCTTTCTCTCTATCTCTCTATCTCTCTCTCTCACTCACCCTCTGACTCTAATTCACTATCCCCCCTCTCCCACCCCCAACTGTCTATCTCTCTCCATTTACTGTAAATGATAAATTTCATTGACAGGTTTCCCATAGTGTGAGCTCCGTAGTATCTAAAACACCCTTTTGTCTGTCTTTCTTGCCATGCATGTCTGCATTTTTGTCTTCCCAGTCCACATCATATGGTGCTTCTGCTTACCCAAGCACTTCTCGTTACTCCAGTGTAAGTTTACTTATTTTAGGTGACTTCCTTTCATTTGATTAAAGTTATAATTAAATTTGTTTGATATTGTTTGTTTATAAATATTTGCTGATTTATTCGTGTTGTTTTGAGTTCTTAACCAGACCAGACCTGAGCCTCTAAACCTTACTGTCCCCTATACCAGGGCTTCTGAGCATTTTTCTTCTTCTTCACTTGCTCTTTTACCGCTGTGGGTGTTGAGGGAGATATAAGGTTCTGTTTCTGGCTCTTCTGGCCGCCTCGACCATAGGCACATCGTTCTGTTGTTTCTCTGATGTTATCCTTCCATCTTGTTCTTGGTCTACCTCGTGCTCTACGTCCTTCTTCTCTTTCCATGTATGCTTTGTATGGTATTGTGTCACAAGGCATTCTCTCTAAGTGGGCAAAACATTTCACTTGCTGTCTTCGTTTTAAAGAGAAAAAAAGTTATGTGCAGGCAGATGGTTAGAATAAGATGGAACATGGAGACATTGTAGAAAATAGCTCTGCCTTTCATCTAGAGCTAATATTCCACCTTTTTGTGCCAATCCACCCAGCAGGATGAGCCTGGTTTCACACAGAGGTACTTCTTTGCAAAGTGAGCATCAGATCTTGCATGGATTGTCAGTGTAAGACATTCCAGGATTAGGACACTAGATCTATAAGGGTCAAGATTCTCCTCATTACTCAAGCTCTCACTGTCTGCGTCACTTGAAATGGAAATGTATTCTTGTTGAAATTCTGACTCCTCAGAGTCTGAATCAACCAAAGGAAAAGGCGAGATGATATACATTCAGGTTGTAACTGGTGCCATCAGAATCAGAACTCTGTACTTCCTGCTGAAGATAGGGATAGAACACTTATGGGAATGTCCAGTGGGCTGTGATGTTGATTCTTAATTCAACATAGAACGTTCAGTCTCTCCTAGCAGAAAGGCTTGTGACACATCCGTTAGTAGTTTTACGTATACTGTACATTCTTCAATGTATATTCCCCGTGTGGATTGCGCACTCTATTTTAGGGGCAGACAAAGTAAACTCACTGCCCCCGACCAGCATGTCGTAAAAGTCTGCTAATTAATGTTGTTTCCTTTGAAGTCAGAGACCATCTGCCTGAGTGGGGAGTAATCAGAATTATGCTTACAGATAAGACAGATCTGTAGAATGCATGTGCATGCGAAACTCCAGTTTTGGAACAATATCAAAATCCAGAAGATGGCTAACAACCACAACTTCCTGCCCGAGTTAACAGCCGGTGAGCACTGAGAAGAAGAAGAAGAAGAAATGTGTATAAATTTTGGGGGGGGCAGACTTTGCATTAACATTTTCAAATGCTGCATGCCAGTGACACAAAATAGTTGGATGAATAAGTGAAACTGCTTCAGATGGCTCACATATATAGTAGAGAGTTATTTCTTCTTTTTTTTTTTTGTGTTCCCCGGCTGTAAACTTCAACGGAAAGTTCTAGTTGTTCATCCACTTCTGTCCTGTTCCGGAACCCGAGTGTTGCGCGCACATTTGTTTTAAAGATCTGACACATTTGTGTGCAGACTGTTGGTTCCTTGCCTCTCAGGCAGATGCAGTCCAACTGCCAATTAGTCAACTCTTATGACATGCTTTTGGGTAGGCAGTGGGTCTATTCTTTTTTTCCCCACAATGAGGCCCCAGAACCCATACTTGAAATAGCACATATTTTAACGAAGTATGTAAAATAATAAAAAATAAACATTATTTTTATGATGAAACTAACTAAATTTCTCTTTTCTTTGTAATCTCCTTCTGAAATTTTTTTTTAATGTTTTGTTTCTTTGTTATTTACTTACTTAATTTTCTGAAAATTGTTTACAATTATTTCTTATTATTTTTGTGATAGAGAGAGTGAGAGAGAGAGAGGAGTGATAGAAAAGGGGAGGAGGGAGGGGTGTAGATAACCCTGTCAGAATAACAAAATCTTAAAATATGTCTACATACTAGATAGTAAAATCAATGAATAAAATGAGCTTATACAGTTGATCGTTTTTTATTGGCTAGTTATATCTGTTGTTGGTATTGTTTGCAGTTTCCCCAGTTTCTTAGACAAATTAAGTGATGACAACTAAGAATATAAGATGTAAAAGAAAACACACAAAATGAAAAATGTCAGATAATAGAAGAAGTATGGTCCCGGTATTCATTTTTGGGGGTTGGGGAGGGGGGTGGTAGAATAATCCCACCGCCCCACAACAAGTATGTTGCAGGCTGAAATATAGTGTGTTGGGTCGAAAAGTGCAATACCGCAGCCTAGCTGTAAAGCACAGTACAATATGCCAACCACCCTTTTAAGGGCAGACAGAAGAAGAGGAAACATGTGCAGTGTCTTATCATATATTTACATTTTTGGGTTAAATGAGAATGTTTCGTGATTGTCATGCCTGTATTATTCATGATTGTCATGCCTGTATGATTCATGATTGTCATGCCTGTATGATTCATGACTGTCATGCCTGTATGATTCATGATTGTCATGCCTGTATGATTCATGATTGTCATGCCTGTATGATTTGTGATTGTCATGCCTGTATGATTCATGATTGTCATGCCTGTATGATTTGTAATTGTCATGCCTGTATGATTTATGACTGTCATGCCTGTATGATTCATGATTGTCATGCCTGTATGATTCATGATTGTCATGCCTGTATGATTCATGACTGTCATGCCTGTATGATTCATGATTGTCATGCCTGTATGATTCATGATTGTCATGCCTGTATGATTCATGATTGTCATGCCTGTATGATTCATGATTGTCATGCCTGTATGATTCATGATTGTCATGCCTGTATGATTCATGATTGTCATGCCTGTATGATTCATGATTGTCATGCCTGTATGATTTGTGATTGTCATGCCTGTATGATTTATGACTGTCATGCCTGTATGATTCATGATTGTCATGCCTGTATGATTCATGATTGTCATGCCTGTATGATTCATGACTGTCATGCCTGTATGATTCATGATTGTCATGCCTGTATGATTCATGATTGTCATGCCTGTATGATTCATGATTGTCATGCCTGTATGATTCATGATTATCATGCCTGTATGATTCATGATTGTCATGCCTATATGATTCATGATTGTCATGCCTGTATGATTCATGATTGTCATGCCTGTATGATTCATGATTGTCATGCCTGTATGATTCATGATTGTCCTGCCTGTATGATTTGTGATTGTCATGCCTGTATGATTCATGATTGTCATGCCTGTATGATTCATGATTGTCATGCCTGTATGATTCTTGATTGTCATGCCTGTATGATTCTTGATTGTCATGCCTGTATGATTCATGATTGTCATGCCTGTATGATTCATGATTGTCATGCCTGTATGATTCATGATTGTCATGCCTGTATTATTCATGATTGTTATGCCTGTATGATTCATGATTGTCATGCCTGTATGATTCTTGATTGTCATGCCAGTATGATTCTTGATTGTCATGCCTGTATGATTCTTGATTGTCATGCCTGTATGATTCATGATTGTCATGCCTGTATGATTCATGATTGTCATGCCTGTATGATTCATGATTGTCATGCCTGTATGATTCATGATTGTCATGCCTGTATGATTCTTGATTGTCATGCCTGTATGATTCATGATTGTTATGCCTGTATGATTCATGATTGTCATGCCTGTATGATTCTTGATTGTCATGCCTGTATGATTCATGATTGTTATGCCTGTACGATTCATGATAGTCATGCCTGTATGATTCATGATTGTCATGCCTGTACGATTCATGATTGTCATGCCTGTATGATTCATGATTGTTATGCCTGTACAATTCATGATTGTCATGCCTGTATGATTCATGATTGTCATGCCTGTATGATTCATGATTGTTATGCGTGTACGATTCATGATTGTCATGCCTGTATCATTCATGACTCTCATACCTGTATTCAACAGAACTCAAAATATAAAGATGGTGGAAGAGTTGGTCTGCGAAATTTGGGAAATACAGTAAGTTATATTTAATTGTTAGACATTATAAATCATTTGTCCCTCTCTCCTTTCTCTAAAAGTCAGTATACTGTATTCTGATATTCTATCTCTCCATCAGATGTAGTCTGACTTCATGGGAAACACCCATACCTAGCCTACTCTTATGACACACTTGTTGGGGGCACATGGGTTTGCTCTTTCTCCTCTACTTTGGGGGCCCAGAGCCCAGACAGGGACTTCATTGGTCTGGCTCTTTCTGTTTTCCTCATATTTTGCTTTGGAGTGCTTTCTGTCTTTGGTGTTAGTTTATGTCTTAAGGTGTGACCGGTCATGAAAGTCTTCTTCTGTTGGCTTGTTGTTTTTCTCTCACCAGTTTTATATAATTTTGAAGGCCTTTCTGTGTTTTTTTCTGTTTTACGTCTTATGTTGAGGTTTGTTATCAGTGTACATAGATAGATATCTGCATTTGTGTGCTTGCCGCGTGAGCGTGCGTACATATTTTACCAGCCATGCTTTTGTTTTTGACTTCATATATATAATATGCATATTATTACATGAATATAACATGCTTCATTGATGAAATACAACTGCTGTGTGAAAGATGGAAGTTTGGAAGGGCCGAATGTAAGACAGGCCTGCGTGCCTAATTTGTAACCCTTTGAAAATAAAGTTTGTTCGTTCGTTCGTTCGTTCGTATTACCGTTGGCTACAGTTGTGTATTTGGACAAAATGGTTTGCTTTTTTTTTTTAACCTTGTTACCTTGTCCGTCTCCATGTTCTTAAGTATCTTCATCTTGTTCTTTCTCCTCGTCCTCTTTGTATTTCCGCCTCTGCTTTTCCTTCTCCTCTTCCTCTCCACCTTTCTCTTCTTTTTTCCTCTTCATCTTGTTTTTTCCTCTTCTTTATCTTCTTCTTTATTTTTATTTTTTTTCCCCTTCTTCTTTTTCCTTGTTTTCAACTTCATTTTCCTTATCTTTATCTTCTTTTTCCTGCTCCTCTTCCTCTTCTCATGCTTCTTTTCCTCTTGTCTTTACCTGTCATAGGGTACAGCCACTTGTACTACTCATAATGTTTTCTGGCAGTCATTTTGTGATGTGTCAACAAGGAGCCCAGATCATTTTTTAAGCATCTTTACTTCAATAGGAATTTGATTCATACACATAACAGTCAGACTTGCAAGCAGTTATGCTAGCCACTGGACAGGTCCTGTTGTGATAATTTGCCTTTGTAAATGACCCCAGATGTGTTGTTGAACATCTCAGTGCCCACTTCTTCTCCGAGTTCACCGGCTGTAAACTCCAGTTGTTTCTCATCATCCACTCCCAGTATTTTGATCTTAATCCAGAACTTGCAGTTGTGCATGCATGTCTGTTTTACAGATCTGACTTATTTGTATACAGATATTTGGTTCCTTGCCACTCAGGCAGATCCACTCAGACTTTTTAAAAAAAAATTAATTAGTGGCCTCCTAAAACATGCTTATTTGGGATTCAGTGGGTCTATTTTTTTGTGCTCCAAAATAGAACCAAGGTGAGGTGTCCACTGATGTGTTCTGTTATTGGTTTCAGTGTTTCACGTTTATAAACCAGTTCAGATATTTTGCTGACCTTCCCAGTGGTCTCTAATGTGTTGTGTTAGCTCCAGCTTTTTGTGTTTTGTGAACGTCGGTGTTTCCATTGAGGTTATTGGTTCCGTTTTGTGTTTTGTGAACGTCTGTGTGTCCACTGATAAGTTATATTGTTGGTTTCAGTGTTTTGTGAACGTCTGTATGTCCACTGATAAGTTGTGTTGTTGGTTTCAGTGTTTTGTGAACGTCTGTGTGTCCACTGATAAGTTGTGTTGTTGGTTTCAGTGTTTTGTGAACGTCTGTATGTCCACTGATAAGTTGTGTTGTTGGTTTCAGTGTTTTGTGAACGTCTGTGTGTCCACTGATAAGTTGTGTTGTTGGTTTCAGTGTTTTGTGAACGTCTGTATGTCTACTGATAAGTTGTGTTGTTGGTTTCAGTGTTTTGTGAACGTCTGTGTGTCCACTGATAAGTTGTGTTGTTGGTTTCAGTGTTTTGTGAACGTCTGTATGTCCACTGATAAGTTGTGTTGTTGGTTTCAGTGTTTTGTGAACGTCTGTGTGTCCACTGATAAGTTGTGTTGTTGGTTTCAACGTTTTGTGAACGTCTGTGTGTCCTCTGATAAATTGTGTTGTTGGTTTCAGTGTTTTGTGAACGTCTGTGTGTCCTCTGATAAGTTATGTTGTTGGTTTCAGTGTTTTGTGAATGTCTGTGTGTCCACTGATAAGTTGTGTTGTGGGTCCCATTGTTTCATGTTTTGTGAACGTCTGTGTGTCCACTGATAAGTTGTGTTGTGGGTTCCATTATTCCATGTTTTGTGAACGTCTGTGTGTCCACTGATAAGTTGTGTTGTGGGTCCCATTGTTTCATGTTTTGTGAACGTCTGTGTGTCCACTGATAAGTTGTGTTGTGGGTTCCATTGTTTCATGTTTTGTGAACGTCTGTGTGTCCACTGATAAGTTGTGTTGTGGGTTCCATTGTTTCATGTTTTGTGAACATCTGTGTGTCCACTGATAAGTTGTGTTGTGGGTTCCATTGTTTCATGTTTTGTGAACATCTGTGTGTCCACTGATAAGTTGTGTTGTGGGTCCCATTGTTTCATGTTTTGTGAACGTCTGTGTGTCCACTGATAAGTTGTGTTGTGGGTTCCATTGTTTCATGTTTTGTGAACGTCTGTGTGTCCACTGATAAGTTGTGTTGTGGGTTCCATTGTTTCATGTTTTGTGAACATCTGTGTGTCCACTGATAAGTTGTGTTGTGGGTCCCATTGTTTCATGTTTTGTGAACGTCTGTGTGTCCACTGATAAGTTGTGTTGTTGGTTCCATTGTTTCATGTTTTGTGAACGTCTGTGTGTCCACTGATAAGTTGTGTTGTTGGTTCCATTGTTTCATGTTTTGTGAACGTCTGTGTGTCCACTGATAAGTTGTGTTGTTGGTTCCATTGTTTCATGTTTTGTGAACGTCTGTGTGTCCACTGATAAGTTGTGTTGTGGGTCCCATTGTTTCATGTTTTGTGAACGTCTGTGTGTCCACTGATAAGTTGTGTTGTTGGTTCCATTGTTTCATGTTTTGTGAACGTCTGTGTGTCCACTGATAAGTTGTGTTGTGGGTCCCATTGTTTCATGTTTTGTGAACGTCTGTGCTTCCACTGATAAGTTGTGTTGTGGGTCCCATTGTTTCATGTTTTGTGAATGTCTGTGTGTACACTGATAAGTTGTGATGTGGGTTTCAGTGTTTTGCGTTTTGTGAACATTTTTGTGTCCACTGATAAGTTGTGTTGTTGGTTCCATTGTTTCATGTTTTGTGAACGTCTGTGTGTCCACTGATGAGTTGTGTTGTGGGTCCCATTGTTTCATGTTTTGTGAACGTCTATGTGTCCACTGATAAGTTGTGTTGTTGGTTCCATTGTTTCATGTTTTGTGAACGTCTGTGCTTCCACTGATAAGTTGTGATGTGGGTTTCAGTGTTTTGCGTTTTGTGAACATTTTTGTGTCCACTGATAAGTTGTGTTGTTGGTTCCAGTGTTTTATGAACAGCGTGCTGCAGTGTTTAAGCAACACACGTCTTCTGCTGGAGTGGTGCCTAGATGAGAGATACCTTCAGGATATCAATGTCACCACAAGCAATATGAAAGGGAGCCTAATCAAAGGTGAGATATTTTTTTTTCTTTTTTGTTGTCTAATATTGTGTTCTTTTGTTCCGAATTTGTCATTTTTTTTCCAGCACAGTGATAAGTGTTTGTGAATCTTTCTTTTTTGTTGCCCAAAGGCTTTTTTCATTTGTTTGTGAATCTGTCTTCCAGTTGTCTGTTGTGTTGTGTTCTATTATGCTCCAATAAACTTTCCAGTGTTGATATAAAGCTTTTCCACAAGTTTGTGAATCTTTTTCTTCTGAGTTGTTTGATATGTTGTGTTCTTGTATTTTCTTATTAAATTTCCACCAAAGGGATATTTAGGGTTTTGTTTTCAAATTTTAAGTCTTCCTTGGGTTTTAATTTTTTTTTTTTTTTTGGGTCAAGTTTGTTTAGAATTGTTTTGTTCCTCTCTTCTGATAATGTAAATTTTTCACTGAAGTTGATAAGAAGCCATTTTTAGTGGTTTACATCTTTCTTCATTGGTATCTGTTTTGTTGTACAAGGTCTGACAATTAAGTAATGAGGCAGAAATGCCATCTATGAAGCAAAGCATGGAATCCACAGAGGCAATCTTCATCAGTGATTTAGCAACTTTTCATCGCCGCCCGATTAGCAGATAACAAACAAGCCGCAATTTTGTTGACCTAGTCAGAAGTGCCTTGTTACGTAATCAGCATGGAGCAAAAAGCTAACATGAAATTATTTAAAACTCAGGAAAAGCACCATTGAGACAGTTGAATTGATGTAACAAGATTTTATGGATAATTGTTTATCCCATAGACAGATTTTCAGGTGGTATTTCCAATTCAAAATTGGTGTGGAAATGATTACTAATGCAACTAGACCTTGATGCCCAATTTCTATTTGTAATGAGGAACTCATTGCAAAAATCAAAGAACAGATACAAGAAGATTATTGTTTGACTGTGAGGATGATGGCAGATGAATTTTGTGTTAATAGAGAGACCATTCATTAAATTTTAGTGGAAGATTTAGGCAAGACAAAAGTTGTTGCTGGTTTGTACCACGTTCGTTGTCTGACGACCAAAAACATTGGCATATTGAGTACGCAAAGGCATCATCAAAATGTGTCACCGGAAAAAAACATTTCTTAAATTTAATTGGTGCGGAGGAGGAAACATGGATTTTCTGCCATGATCCACAAATAAACACCAAAATGCTCAGTGGAAGTCATCATCATCACAAAAAGGCAAAAAATTATGTCTTCAGAAGTTAAAAGTGAAGTGTTGGTGTGCTTCTATGACAGCAAAGGAGTTATTTACAAAGAATTCACTTTAGAGAGACAAACTGTCACAGCCAGGGTGTATTTAGGTATTTTGAAACGTCTGTTGAAAAGAATTCTCAGAGTGCGACCCGAGTATTCAGTACCTGAATACCTGTTTTTTCCTTTTTAATGACAATGCACCGCCTCACCAGACGGTAGTTGTACAGGAATTTTTGGCTCAGTCACATATTTAAAGTCCTGAAGTTCCTTTTTCCATACTTTTTCCGCGCATTTATGTAATTTTTGTCAACTTTCATCTAAAATTTGTGACTGCATTTTAAGTCTTAATGTAACACATTATATGACTGCAGCTCTCTCTCTCTCTCTCTCTCTCTCTCTCTCTCTCTCTCTCTCTCTCTCTCTCTCTCTCTCTCTCTCTCTCTCTCTCTCTCTCTCTCTCTCTCTCTCTCTCTCTCTCTCTCTCTCTCTCTCTCTCTCTCTCTCTATTACTCCATCTCCCCACTCTTTCTACCCAGTCTTTATGTCCATCCATTCCTGTCTTTCACCATCATATATCTCCCTCCCCTTTCTCCCATTCTCTTCCTCTCACTTTCTCTCTCTCTCTCATGCCCCACCTCTCAAATCCCACTGATTCTGTCTAACATTTAACAATCTGTACTTACTGCTTGTCCATACAGCCTATGCCAACTTGATGCAAGCCATGTGGAAAAGCAAGACCGATGGCAGTGTGTCACCTGATGCTTTCAAGACGCAAATACAGAAGTTTGCTCCTCGCTTCATGGGCTATGCGTAAGTTAATATTTCTCTGCTAGTGCTGTGGATATTTCTGTCCTAGTGCTTTGGATATTTCTGTCCTAGTGCTAAAAGATATTTCTATAGTGGTGCTTTGGATATTTCTGTCCTAGTGCTATGAGTGTTTCTATAGTAGTACAGTCATTGTTTCTGTGGTAGTGCTATAAATGTTTTTGTTGTGGTAAGCTGAATGTTTCTATGATAGTGTTGTGAATGTTTCTATGGTAGTACAGTCATTCTTTCTGTGGTAGTGCTATAAATGTTTTTATTGTGGTAAGCTGAATGTTTCTATGATAGTGTTGTGAATGTTTCTATGGTAGTACAGTCATTGTTTCTGTGGTAGTGTTATGAGTGTATTAGTTATATTGCTGTAATCTTTTTCATGGGAAATGGAATTCATTTAACACATGTATCTTTCAGCTAATAAGTGAATTTTTAAAGAAATTTGTGAGGATCATTGTTAGAATTGCTGAGTGCAGGCATTGTATGACAGTCTTGGCCGACAGCTAGCCGTTTCGCTGTTGAGACTGAGCTATATTGGATAAATCCTGGTGTCAAAATATTTGATTTTCTAGGCTTTAAATTTTAATAAATCACTGTAATTATAGTCTCACTAGGTAAATAAAATTTCTGGTCATGTAAATGCTTTCTATCTCAATTTGTGTACCAGTTATTTTATTAATTGTGTGTGATTATTTGTTTTCCTGCATAGCAGTTAACATTTCATATGTGATTGGCTATTCTTTTTGTGTACCAGTCATCATGACATTTGTGATTGGCTGTTTTCTCTGTGTACCAATTAGCATGTCATTTGTGATTGGCTGTTTTCTCTGTGTACCAATTAGCATGTCATTTGTGATTAGCTGTTTTCTCTCTATACCAATTAGCATGTCATTTATGATTGGCTGTTTTCTCTGTGTACCAATTAACATGTCATTTGTGATTGGCTGTTTTCTCTGTGTACCAGTTAGCATGTCATTTGTGATTGGCTGTTTTCTCTGTATACCAGTTAGCATGTCATTTGTGATTGGCTGTTTTCTCTGTGTACCAATTAACATGTCATTTGTGATTGGCTGTTTTTCCTGTGAACCATTCAGCATTTCATTTGTAATTGGGCAGTCTTTCTATGTACCAGCATTCACTGGAGTTAATAAGTTGAAGGCAGGCAGAGGTAGACACATGGTAAGACATCTACAAGACATTGATCAAGAGCAACCTGTCAATGTTTTCAAGACAGCACATGATTGATTGATTGATTGAGCTGAATTTCTTAGCATGAAAGTTAGTGAAAGTTAGTTGACTGAGTCTTCATACCTGTGATGAATCATTGTTATTTCAGCCAGCAAGACAGTCAGGAGTTTCTCCGTTACTTGCTGGAGGGGCTTCACGAAGATGTTAACCGGGTCACCAAGAAGCCGGCACCGATTATCCTCGATGACAACCAGCTGGAGAAGAGAAGGTCAGCATTTTAGGTTATTTATTAACTAGTTCTTCCAAACTAAATTTTTTGTTTTCCAAAATAAATATTTTTTCTTTCTTGAAAGATTTTCCATCAGAACTTATTACTTTAATTTGTTAAAATGCGTACTTTTCAATTTTATATGTTAAAATTTCATGTATCATCTTTTCCACCCCAAAAATGCTGAGAAAAATGGGAGGGGGGGGCGAACCAGGGATTTCCTGGGAAAATCATCCTTTGAAAAAAAAGCATTTTGCAAAGATCACTAATACATTTAAAAAAATTAAAGTATCTATGTGTAAAAAAAAAGTAATTAAAATATGTAAAGAGAATAATCAATAAATACAAATGGAGTTGAGTTTTTTTTTTTCTTCGTCACGTTCACCAGCTGTAAACTCCAGCAGAATGTTTTAGTTGTGCATCCACCTCTAGACTTTAGACTTATTCCAGGACCTGAGTGTTGCGTGTCTTCTTCTTTTGTCAAAATCTGCTTGTGCTGCTAGGCGTCGCAGTCTATCAGATGATCGGTAACCGAGCCAGGGCGCGCTCAGTCGCTTCATATGCCGTGATGTTATGAAGTCTCAAGTTGTCCGTGACTCCTTCAATCCATCTTCTTCTTGGTCTTCCCCTGCCTCTTGGTGTTTCGATTTTCATGTTGTATGCTCTTGATGCTGGCATCGTTGGTTCCATTCTCATTAGGTGACCAAACCATTTCATTCTTTGCTTCTCAATAAATTTAACGATGGGTATGGTTCCAATAGTTCTTGTAATCACATCGTTTCTCACTCGATCTCTTCTGGTTTTATTCGCAGTCATTCTCAAACATCTCATTTCACAGGTGGTTAGTCTTCTCTCGTGTTCTTTTGTTAATGTCCAAGTCTTGCGTGTAAATCTGTTTAAACAGATCTGACCTAATTTTATGCAGACTGTTGGTTCTTTGCCTCTCAGGCAGATGCACTCCAACTGGATTTATTCTTGTTTTTCTCACAGCGGAACCCAGGAACCCACACGGGGGGAGTGAAATATAAAATATAATACATTCCACCGAGCCTAAATAATTGTATTGTGTGATCCATACTATAACCCCTGTGACCTTGTCAGAATTCGAACCATAAGGCTATGGGCAAAAGTTTTTCAGAAGAAGGCTGCCCCCTCTCCAGATGCTATTTTTAGTCAATATATTCATATCAGGGGTCTCCTATACACTCTACAGGCACAAACAGAATCAAACACCACTAACAAGGCTTCTTGGGCGAGGCCATAGCAGAAATGCAGGTTACGTGGCATTTACAAGATTGAATTTGCAGTGGAAATGTCAAGTTTGCAGCTTCTGGGTTTAAATAGTACTTCTATAACTTGTTTCACATGCTTCATTCATCAGTATACATGGTGTTGCAGTTTTATATCTTATCTGGTGGCAAGACCTAATCATCAGCAAAGAGTACTTCTTTAAAAAAAAAATTCTATCATTTTTTTTAAATATTTCAGTGATAGTGGAAAAGCCCAGGAGTATTGGAAAGCTTATTTAAATCGCGACAACAGTATGATCGTGGGTAAGTCTGGAACTGCCTTGTTTTTATTTAATCAGCATAATGAGACTTGCGGATAAGTATAGCAGTGGCTAGAGTTTATGGATTAAGTCAGCGTTTTCCCCTATAGCAAGCAGTACAGCTGTTTAAATTGAACTCTTTGTTTTCTGCTTGCTCTTTTTCTGTCAGGTTTGTCAGTTGTCAGCAGATGCTTTTTAATGTTTGTTTACTTTTTCTCTCTCTGTCTCTCTCACTCAAACACATACGAGACAGAGAGATAGAGAGAGATTATATATACATATATACTAATCACTGACTTTCATAGTCGAGCAGTAATTAGAGCAGTATCTTTCCACCTTACAGGGAAATCAAAGTGCTCATTTCTCACCTTTGGAGCAACCTAAGAGAGAGTACTGAGATTAGGCATAGTAGACACGAAGATGTCTTTAAATGATAACTTGATATATTATGACCATTTTTGTCTGTGACTGATGGGTTGTAGGATCCAGTTTGGCACTAGAAAGAAGAAATCTTAGTGTATGGAGTTAATGCATGTGTTCCCTTTGTGGATTCCGAGATCCTGTTGTGAGGGGATAAAAGAATAGACACGACCCTTAACAAGCATTTGATAAAGGTGACTAATTAAGGACTTGCTGAAATCAAATGTCTTGGACGTAAAAGCTTTTATAAAGCCAAGTTGACATCAGATTTTCCAATAAGCCTCATTAATAGAGGTCACAGGGTCATTGTGTGAGTCCTCCATTACCCATATTGTTTTTGGGGATCTGGAAGTGCATTTTATTAATTCCTCATTCTTCATGTTTATTGATAATTCCATTTGTATATCTGTATACTTCGAGAGAGAAAAAAAATTAATATAAATTTTAAAACCGATTATTTGTAATCTGTGTACAACTTATTGTTAAAGGTATTGGGGGGGGGGGGGGGGGGGTATTCCTACAGGGTCCTGGCCTAACCGAGGTTAGTAGCCATTACACTCTTTGACATCTTGTGAGGCAGATTGAACACTATGTTGGCACATATTTTTAGACCACGGAATCCTGACCAGCAAAATAAAAAATAAATTAGGTAAAGAACTCTTTACATGCAAGTGACGCATATTGGACAAATGATGATCATCATCATCAATCAGCATGTCTTATACAGAACGTTGCTCTCCTCTCAGCATGCCTGAAAGTATCCCTCTCCCTAGCCACCTCTCCAGCCCCATGTGCTTTCAATGCCAATGCAACTAGACATTTGATTCTGGACAATTTGTCTAAAACATAAAGTCCAGCAAAAGACATATGATGCAGGAATTTATGTTTTAGACTAATCGTCACTCTCTGGGTGGTGAGGTCATTGTTACGTCAGCTGTCTTTACTTCTCAGGACATTACCTGGTACCAATTTTAGGCTGGATTGTGGGAGCTGAGGTGGCAAACATACGGCTTCAGGTGTAATGCTTTGGGATGATACATATGCTAACACTAAAGATGGCCCTAAAATGATGGTAACCAGTGGGCACTTCGTGGGTGATGTAGTCACTTCATGGGTGATATGGTCACTTCATGGGTGATGTAGTCACTTCATGGGTGATGTAGTCACTTCATGGGTGATGTAGTCACTTCGTGGGTGATGTGGTCACTTCATGGGTGATGTAGTCACTTCATGGGTGAGGTGGTCACTTCATGGGTGATGTAGTCACTTCATGGGTGAGGTGGTCACTTCATGGGTGATGTAGTCACTTCATGGGTGATGTGGTCACTTCATGGGTGATGTGGTCACTTCATGGGTGATGTGGTCACTTCATGGGTGATGTGGTCACTTCATGGGTGATGTGGTCACTTCATGGGTGATGTGGTCACTTCATGGGTGAGGTGGTCACTTCATGGGTGATGTGGTCACTTCATGGGTGATGTGGTCACTTCATGGGTGGTGTAGTCACTTCATGGGTGGTGTAGTCACTTCATGGGTAATGTGGTCACTTTATGGGTGGTGTGGTCACTTCATGGGTGATGTAGTCACTTCATGGGTGATGTAGTCACTTCATGGGTGAAGTGGTCACTTCATGGGTGATGTGGTCACTTCGTGGGTGATGTGGTCACTTCATGGGTGATGTGGTCACTTCATGGGTGAGGTGGTCACTTCATGGGTGATGTGGTCACTTCATGGGTGATGTAGTCACTTCATGGGTGATGTGGTCACTTCATGGGTGATGTGGTCACTTCATGGGTGAGGTGGTCACTTCATGGGTGAGGTGGTCACTTCATGGGTGAGGTGGTCACTTCATGGGTGATGTGGTCACTTCATGGGTGATGTGGTCACTTCATGGGTGATGTGGTCACTTCATGGGTGAGGTGGTCACTTCATGGGTGAGGTGGTCACTTCATGGGTGAGGTGGTCACTTCATGGGTGATGTGGTCACTTCATGGGTGATGTGGTCACTTCATGGGTGATGTAGTCACTTCGTGGGTGATATGGTCACTTTGTGGGTGATGTGGTCACTTCATGGGTGATGTAGTCACTTCATGGGTGATGTAGTCACTTCGTGGGTGATGTAGTCACTTCATGGGTAATGTAGTCACTTCATGGTTAATGTGGTCAGTATCCTGGTTGCCAGCTTTGTTTCCCAGAATATTAGCAGCCCAGGTGATTGCTAACAATCCCCACCTCACAAGGGATTTGAACATGTGACCACTGAGAATGAACAAACAAACTTTATTTCTAAAGAGTATCAGATTGGACACACCTTTCATCTTACACTTGGCCCTTCCAAACATCCATCTTCTAACAACAGTCGCATTTTATCAATAAAGCATTTTATGTTCGTGTAACAGTATGCATATTTTAATTACTACTACTTCATTTTTCCACAGACATTTTTGTGGGACAGTTAAAAAGTGAGCTGAATTTTGCATCCTGTGGTCACCGTTCAGTAACCTTTGACCCATTTTGGGATTTGTCCATTCCGGTAGTTAAGGTAAGGGATATATTGGTGCAGTGACTGTAAATTATGATGTTGATGAAGTGTAAATCAATGCACTGAAGTAGTGGTTGAATATGGCGTATAGAGTGAATAAAGTCCTTCAACAAACCAACGCATACATCCATATATATGGGAGCACAGATGTAGAACTACATACGTCTTGTAGATGTCTTAAAAGAAACTGGCTCACGAAGAGAACTAATTGCACACATCAGAAAGAGACAATCTACATTCTCTGGTCATGTGATGATGAGGAGAAAACTGGAGTACATCGCGACGGTAGGAAAGTTGGAGGAGAGGCAGAGGGAGACCATGAGAACAGACGCTCGACAATTTGACATCATGGCGTGGAAAATCGTCTGTGTCAGAGTTGATTGAAAGTACACTAGACATAAGGTTGTGGATAGACATGACTACCAAACGCTACACGGCGTGGACTTTAGGAAGAAGAAGACAGAAGGTTGTGGATAGACATGACTACCAAACGCTACACGGCGTGGACTTTAGGAAGAAGAAGACAGAAGGTTGTGGATAGACATGACTACCAAACGCTACACGGCGTGGACTTTAGGAAGAAGAAGACAGAAGGTTGTGGATAGACATGACTACCAAACGCTACACGGCGTGGACTTTAGGAAGAAGAAGACATAAGGTTGTGGATAGACATGACTACCAAACGCTACACGGCGTGGACTTTAGGAAGAAGAAGACAGAAGGTTGTGGATAGACATGACTACCAAACGCTACACGGCGTGGACTTTAGGAAGAAGAAGACAGAAGGTTGTGGATAGACATGACTACCAAACGCTACACGGCGTGGACTTTAGGAAGAAGAAGACAGAAAGTTGTGGATAGACATGACTACCAAACGCTACACGGCGTGGACTTTAGGAAGAAGAAGACAGAAGGTTGTGGATAGACATGACTACCAAACGCTACACGGCGTGGACTTTAGGAAGAAGAAGACATAAGGTTGTGGATAGACATGACTACCAAACGCTACACGGCGTGGACTTTAGGAAGAAGAAGACAGAAGGTTGTGGATAGACATGACTACCAAACGCTACACGGCGTGGACTTTAGGAAGAAGAAGACAGAAGGTTGTGGATAGACATGACTACCAAACGCTACACGGCGTGGACTTTAGGAAGAAGAAGACAGAAGGTTGTGGATAGACATGACTACCAAACGCTACACGGCGTGGACTTTAGGAAGAAGAAGACAGAAGGTTGTGGATAGACATGACTACCAAACGCTACACGGCGTGGACTTTAGGAAGAAGAAGACATAAGGTTGTGGATAGACATGACTACCAAACGCTACACGGCGTGGACTTTAGGAAGAAGAAGACATAAGGTTGTGGATAGACATGACTACCAAACGCTACACGGCGTGGACTTTAGGAAGAAGAAGACAGAAGGTTGTGGATAGACATGACTACCAAACGCTACACGGCGTGGACTCTGAGAAGAAGATGCCTTGTACACAAGGCAAAAACCCTTTGAAAAAATATTGAAGAATTTGAAGGTTTTAAGATATTGGGTTGTAGAAATGAGAGTTAAATGCATCTGAACACAAATGTTTGCGAAGAATGTTTAATATGAAATGGGATCAATTCAAAAAGGTTACGAAAATAAGAGAAACGTCCGGTCAACCACTGGTAACAACAGCTATGAGACAAAGAAGATGGCGCTATTTTGGACACATCCTTGAAAAAGAAAAACTAGCAGAGAATCACTGAACAGGCACTGAAATGGGAAATAAAGCAATTGAAGAAGCAAGCGCTTAAAAAAAAAGGCACATCGATTATTACAGACCAATCAGCACTAGGTGGGTAATGTGGTCAGCATTAAGCCGGCCATCTGTACTTCCCCATGACATACATCCTGGTACCCATTTTAGGCTGGGTTTACCTGCGACGCCCCACACCGTGATAAAAATCCACGCAGCCAGTAGTGGGTTTTTATCACGGTATTTTGGAATTATGAGTCGTACTCGCAACACCTAAGCCACGGACGCCGCTGAGCACTTCAAAAACAAACCCTAAAACAAATGTTGATGAGAGAGGCCAAATGTGCTGTACTAGATTCCATCCCATAATATTGAAAGGATTGCACAGGATACAGTAGACTGTGAGCCCAAGTGGCATATAATGACAAAACAAGAGGATGATGATTATGATTTAGAAATATTATAATTGAACCAGAACACTGAGATCTTAAAAGAGCCATGAATTCCTTGCCATCTGGCATGACACATGATGATAACATCAGAACCATGCTGGTTTGACAAAATAATCTGGCTAGACACCAGGGATTGATCCCAGACCACTGTGTTGCCACTGTGGTTCCACCCAGACCATAGTTTTGCTACTTTTTCCACTAAAACCATAATTTTGCTACTATGGTTCCATCCGGACTGTAGTTTTGCCACTGTGGTGCTAGCTATACCACAGATGTGCCACTTTTATTCCATTTAGGTTGAGAGGTAGACTATGTATACTGAAATATTTAAAACACGTTAACTTATGCATGTCACTTAGGGTCCAAATGAGGTCAGCTTGGACGATTGTATTCGGCTGTTCATGAAAGAGGAAGAACTAGCCGCTGAAGAGAGACCAGTAAGTGGCCATTTTTTGTGTGTCACTTCCTCTTTTATCATTTCCGTTGTCAAAGGAGATTTAAGTTTTAGCTTTTTGCTTTTGTTCCTACCTCCACTAGTAGTACTCTTGTACTTTGATGTTGTCTTTCGATCTGATTCTTGGTGTGCCTCTTGTGTCCCTGGATGTATACAAAGGTATCAGGGCTGGGTAATAATGTTATTTAAATTATAAGTTTAAAAATGTAGTTACATGTCTTCATTTTTTCTTTTTCTGAGTATCCACCAGCTGTAAACTCCCTGAGAAAGTTCTGGCTGCTCGTCCACCTCTGAGCTTTGGTCGTTCCAGAACTTGAGTCTCGCCTGCACATCCACTTTACATTATCTGGCTTATATGTATGCAGGCTGTTGGTTCCTTACTTCTCAGGCAGAGACAGTCTGACTTTAAAGAACGCAACCTAATTAGTAGCATTTTAGTACATGCTTGTTTTAGGCAGTGGATCTTCTTTTGTTTCCCCCAAAACCTGGGGCCCCAGAACTCACTTGAGGAAGTTGCACATCCTGTACAAGATGTCACAGACTGACTGTTGATAGTTTGTGGCTAACATATCGACAGACAAGGGGGTGCTACGCTACCACCGTTTCTATCCATGAGTCGCCACTGAAACCAACCCTAGCATTTATTGGCTCTGTGTGGTTTTATTAGGCAGTTTATATTCATTAGTTTGCCATTGCTTTCTCAATGGTCTTGTTGTTTTAAATTCAAATATATAACATGTCCACATTGTGCGATCTGATAAAGATTTAAATTTTTTGTCCTTCCCAGATGTGCATAATTTGTGAATATTTATCTTTTCCAGATGTGCATAATTTGTGAATATTTATCTTTTCCAGATGTGCACCAAATGCAAGAGCAGAAGGTCGTGCACCAAGAGTTTTTCTATTCAGCGTTTCCCCAAGATCCTCGTACTTCGTATCCTTGAGTGCAGTTACATTAACAGACTGAATCACAGACATACAGTTACAATAACAGACTGAGTCATAGAAGTACAGTTACATTGACAGGCTGAATCATAGAAGTAGTTACATTAACAGACTGAATCATAGAAGTAGTTACATTAATAGACTGAATCACAGACATATAGTTACAATAACAGACTGAGTCATAGAAGTACAGTTACATTGACAGACTGAATCATAGAAGTAGTTACATTAACAGACTGAATCATAGAAGTAGTTACATTAACAGACTGAATCACAGACATATAGTTACAATAACAGACTGAGTCATAGAAGTACAGTTACATTGACAGACTGAATCATAGAAGTAGTTACATAAACAGACTGAATCATAGAAGTAGTTACATTAATAGACTGAGTCATAGAAGTACAGTTACATTAACAGACTGAATCATAGAAGTAGTTACATCAAAAGACTGAATCATAGAAGTACAGTTACATTAGCAGACTGAATCATGGAAGTACAGTTACATTAACAGACTGAATCATAGAAGTACAGTTACATTAACAGACTGAATCATAGAAGTAGTTACATTAACAGACTGAATCATAGAAGTACAGTTACATTAGCAGACTGAATCATAGAAGTACAGTTACATTAACAGACTGAAGCATAGAAGTAGTTACATTAACAGACTGAATCATAGAAGTAGTTACATTAACAGACTGAATCATAGAAGTACAGTTACATTAACAGACTGAATCATACAAGTACAGTTACATTAACAGACTGAATCATAGAAGTACAGTTACATTGACAGACTGAATCATAGAAGTAGTTACATTAACAGACTGAATCATAGAAGTACAGTTACATTAACAGACTGAATCATAGAAGTAGTTACATTAACAGACTGAATCATAGAAGTAGTTACATTAACAGACTGAATCATAGAAGTACAGTTACATTAACAGACTGAATCACAGAAGTATAGTGACATTGACAGACTGATTCATAGAGGTACAGTTACATTAACAGACTGAATCATAGAAGTACAGTTACATTAACAGACTGCATCATAAAAGTACAGTTACATTAACAGACTGAATCATAGAAGTACAGTTACATTAACAGACTGAATCACAGAAGTATAGTTACATTAACAGACGAATCACAGAAGTATAGTTACATTGACAGACTGAATCACAGAAGTACAGTTACATTAACAGACTGATTCATAGAAGAACAGTTACATTAACAGACTGAGAGTCATAGAAGTACAGTTACATTAACAGACTGAATCATAGAAGTAGTTACATTAACAGACGAATCACAGAAGTATAGTTACATTGACAGACTGAATCACAGAAGTACAGTTACATTGACGGACTGATTCATAGAAGAACAGTTACATTAACAGACTGAGAGTCATAGAAGTACAGTTACATTAACAGACTGCATCATATAAGTACAGTTACATTGACGGACTGATTCGTAGAAGAACAGTTACATTAACAGACTGAGAGTCATAGAAGTACAGTTACATTAACAGACTGCATCATAGAAGTACAGTTACATTAACAGACTGAATCACAGAAGTAAAGTTACATTGACAGACTGCATCATAGAGGTACAGTTACATTAACAGACTGAATCACAGAAGTAAAGTTACATTAACAGACTGAATCACAGAAGTATAGTTACATTAACAGACTGAATCACAGAAGTACAGTTACATTGACGAACTGATTCATAGATTTACAGTTACATTAACAGACTGAGTCATAGAAGTACATTTACATTAACAGACTGCGAGTCATAGAAGTACAGTTACATAAACAGATTAAACCACATACATTTCTGTTAATAACCTTGACCCTGGCCTGTAGATTTGAAGCGTTTCAGTCAGCAAGAAAGGTTTGGCCGTAAACTGACGACCCTCGTAGATTTCCCCATTAAGAACCTTGACCTTTCAGAATATGCTTCAGACAGTAAGGCAGGGGAGCAGGTGCGGTACGACCTCTACGCTGTGTCCAACCACTCCGGCGGTACCAGTTCTGGTCATTACACTGCTTACTGCAGGAACCCCTACTCTGGCGAATGGTATTACTTCAATGATGCTAGGTGAGTTACTGTTACTGTTGTTTCTGGTGATCATCTGCCTATATTACTGCAGAGGTATTTTTTGCTGTTATTCTTCTTCTTCTTTTCTCCTGCTGCTTATGCCGTAAAGCATCGAAAGAGGAGTTATGTGTAGTTACCTGTCATTCAGTTGAGTTGAGTTGAATCAAGAATTGACATCACAGCACTCGGGACATTCCCATGCATGCTCGGTGCTCATCTTCAGCAACTAGCACAGATTATGGTACTGATGGTACCGGTCACAATCTTGTTAAATGTCCGTCCTGCCTTTCCTCTGAGTGTAGTGAGTCGGCCAGACCCTCTGGTTGCATCCAGATGCCTCATTCTCTCCAGGCCATTCTAATCTTCTTTCTGTACTTGACCACATCTGCCTTGCTATGTATCAATTCACCACCCAGTGGTGCAGATCCAGCCAATCTGTCTGCCTGTTCATTACCCACCACGCTGGCATAGCCTGGAGAAAAGATTCAAAGTATGCTCACCACCCGTGACCTTTCCAGTGAAGCTTGCCATTCTGCTCCCTATCTTCACCTTTTTCAGCATGCTTTCAGAGTCTGTTACAATTAGTCATGCGTATGCATCTTGTTCTCTAGCCACCGGAAGAGGAGTTTCAAAGAAAGACAGAACATGAAATCAGACAAATGCTAGGAATAGAGCCAGTCTTACAAGTCATCAAATAACAACAAGTGAAGTGGTTTGGACACCTAACAAGAATGCCCTGGTACCATATGCCACAGCGAGCCACACTAAAACGTTACAACAGGTATAGAGCAAGTGGAAGACCTTGGGAACTATGGAGCGATGGCATTAAAAACAGCCTTACAGAAATGAACATCAGTCCTAGTAGTGCTCTTGACGGAGCTTATCAAAGAATGTTACATTTCCCCCCCCCCCCCCACCCACCCCCACCCCCCGACACTTCTCTGAGATACAAGATGGAAGAGAAGAAGAAGAAGAAGTATTTTGGATGCCATTTCAGCAGTAATTATATTTTTCAAATTTGCCACTGTAAGTACTTTTGGTATCACCTCAAGAGGAAAATGGATTAATGACATTAAAGGCATTCTACATTCACGTGGAACAACACTGCCACCCATCCAAGACTGGACCACAAATTGGGTCCTTCTCACCAAGCCTAACGTGGAAGTTGATGATGAGGTATACCTATATAAAAAGTTAGTTGCTTATCCTTTACATGACATTGCAGAACCAGTCCCAGCATTTTTGGGCTGCCGTGGTTTTTCATTTGTCTTCCCAATGCCACTGTTGAAACCAACGCAAGGCCTGCAGCTGGGATCGAACCCGGCACATCGGCATTATGAAGCGCATTCGCAACACCAAAGCCACAGAGTACCTGCATAAGAAGATGAATATTGAACATAAACTTATAATGAGCTTGTAAATACAAATGACAGGAGAACTGGCAAAGACTCCATTTTTTTCAGTGGTCTGAATTATTAAGAGTAATGTTCAGCAAAGGATTTGTTTGGTCTAATTCCAGTTGGCTGATAATTGTTGTTATGTGCTCCATTTTGCAGAGTTTCGAGCATCCGATCAAACCAAGTGGTCTCCCCTGAGGCCTACGTCCTGTTCTACGAACTGAGCAGCTAGCTGGGACAGCTGTTAGCTTTATTTGCATCCACCAATCAGATGACTTGTCCCTTATGCATACAATTTGAAAACTGTTGTGCCTAGCTTTCTTTTGTTAAAGCTGTTGGTTAATTTTATAACATTCATGTCTTTTTGTTTAGCCAATGAAATAACATGTTGCATAAAATAACTTTGCATGGTATGTTGTACTAAAAAAAAAAAGATATTATCTAATTGGCTATTAAAATGAAATCAGAAGAGATTGATGATTAGAATAAAATGCAACTGCAAGAAAAATCTTATTAAAATAACCTGCTGCATTTTTAAAAGAAAACTGTGTATAGTATGTGGCACTGAAGAAACAAGATATCTGATTGGCTGTTAAAATGAAATTCACTGTGATTGGTTACTAGAATGAAGAACAACTGGCAGAACAAGAAAGCAGTGGTTTTAACCTGTCTCATCATCCCCCCAAAAAAAGCATTATTCATCATCAAAAGTTCATGATCATCACTAGTCTGGATGGTTTGTCCTTTCCTGAGTTGGGCTGTGTATTTTGCCATTGCACGTGGTGTGTATCCTTGTGGTAAAATAATATAATGTTTTTTTGAGAATCAAACGTCCTAATTGTGGGATATACCACACAAGAGCATGTCTTGTTGTGTGGTACACACATCAGATTTTAGCTGAATCCTCTGAGATGTGGTCTGTCTCATAGAAAAGACCTTTATCTGATTGCAGTGCCTCTCATAAGTCTGTGGTACAGTATTGTGTGGTTTACCTCAGTGATTACTTCCAGGACTAAATTGTGTGGTAGCCTAACAGATGTGGCCCCAGTTCTAGATGGTGTGGTCTTGCTCACAGCTAAGACCAGTAGTACCAATATTGTGTGGTATACCTCAGAGCCATTCACACTGCCTGATTATCTGACGCCTAAAATTTGTTTGGTGTGGTTCACCGCTGAACCCAGTGTTGGATTGTGTGAGGACACTTACAGCTAAATCCAGTGTTGGATTGTGTGGTATAGCTTACAGCTGAATCCAGTGTTGGATTGTGTGGTATAGTTTACAGCTGAATCCAGTGTTGGATTGTGTGTTATAGCTTACATCCAAATCCGGTTTTGGATTGTGTGCTATAGCTCACATCCAAATCCAGTGTTGGATTGTGTGGCATAGCTTACAGCCAAATCCAGTGTTGGATTGTGTGGCATAGCTTACAGTCAAATCCAGTGTTGGATTGTGTGGTATAGCGTACAGCCAAATCCAGTGTTGGATTGTGTGGTATAGCTCACATCCAAATCCATTATTGGATTTTGTGGTATATAACTTGCATCTAAATCCAGTGTTGGATTGTGTGGTATAGCTTGCAACTAAATCCAGTGTTGGATTGTTTGCTACTGCTAACGTCTAAGTCAAGCGTTAGGTTTTGGGGGATAGCTTAGCCAGCTTCCACTATCATATAGTGGTGTACCATTTACCAATGGCTAATCCTGCACTCTTAGGCATCCATTACAGAACTAACATATATCATCACATATTTAACTTTCGTATCCATTAACATACCTCAGTGTAGTGTTTTTATTTTTTTCTCTACATGTAAATGTCAGTGTATTTGTGTGTTAATTTAGTTATACATTTCACCATTTATTTATTTATCTTGAGCCCACATCATTATCCTCTTACTGGAAGAATCTCGGCAAACAGTTCTTCATTTCTCATTGAGCTAGTATTTATATCAGTGTATAATATTTCAAACTTAAACAGCAGTTAACACAGATTTCTTTGTCTTTTCATAAATTCTATAATTTCTTAATTAACTATTGAAGTAGTCACTTGTTAGCATATTGTATAAACCTGTGTTAGGTTTGCCTCTGTGTATGTTTGTAGTTGACATGCAGCAAATTAGTGTCCTAATTTTCAACCGTAATTTGTCACTACCGGATTTTAAAACGAGATGAGATAAATCATAATCTTCGTTATCCCCCTTGTGGGATGCAATTTGTTTTGTTATTTTGAAGCCCCACCCTGGCTGATGCTAGGGGCTGCAATATAACCTAATGGTTGAATACGGTTTCCTAAACCCCTCCATGGGTGATCCTCATCCGCATGGTGGCACTTTGTGTCACCGGGTTTATCACTTTGTGGTGTCTTGGTGGCGTAAAATTTACTTACTGAGATACAATGGCAGAAATAAGTTGTCTGTCTTCATTCAGAATTGTGCTGTATTTTCAGTTGTAATCACTTCTCTGACGATATTTAAAAGTTAGAACAGAAGAAGATGCAAACAATAGATTGCTTAGCATATTTCACTGGATCTTTTCATTTATATACTTCGGTAACAGATCAATCAAATGAGGCAAATCAAGGATCCTTAACATTTGAAATACAAAATCAACCACACCCAAAAAATAGCTGCCTATTTTTTGTAGTATAGTTCATTTTGTATTGCTGTTGTAAGAGGATCCCTTCATTTCATTATATTCAATTGCTACAGAAGTATGCAGCTGATGAGAAATAGCAAAAATTTTAAATCTTGAAACATTTTTGTCATTTTCAAAGACATTTCTCTCTGATATTATTTGAAAGATTTGTGTCACTTTTCACAAAATTTTTTTTTAAGGATATTTGAAAGAGGCTTGTTACTTTTCAGGACACTTCTCTATAATGATATTTGAAAGCTTTTTTTTTTTAAACTTTCTGTGACATTGTTCTCTGTGATTTTTTTTTTTTTTTAAACAGATCTGGCTTATTTGTATGCAGACTGTTGGTTCCTTGCCTGTCAAGCAGATGCACTCTGACTTTGAAGGAAACAACCCTCATTAGTAGCCTACTAGGACATGTTTGTTAGGAGGTCAATGGGTCTATTCTTTGTTCTCCAAAATGTAGTTTCGGAACCCACACGTGTAACTTATATCTGAACGGTTTTGTCCCACTTTCCAAGACATTTATCTAATAAATGTTGAAGGCTTTTTCCATTCTCTGTGACAATTCTTTCTGATATTTAAACGATTTCCAGGAAATGTCTCTTAGATCATGACTGAAAGATCTTCGTCACATTTCAGGGCACTTCTCTCAGACTTCAGAAAGTTAAATCATCTGTAAGTGATGAACTTTGGGTGAATTATTCAGGACAAACTGATTTCAGAAATTAAGCTGTTAGATCATTTTTATTATAGTTTATTTTTTACTAGCAAGCATCAAAAATGGCGAACAGACATTTTTTATACCATATGTGTGCATGTGCAGGTGTGTGAATTTATATAAATATACATATAAATAATTTTTACAAAGTACAAATTCATATCATTTTTATATACTACAAAATTAGTTATACTAGACTGTATTATATTTATTTTTTATTGTTTTTTTTTAAGCATGAATCTTCAGATTTGTTTATCTGTAGTACTTAACCCTTTGCGTCCAACTTCTAGAATCAAATAAATTATCGTTTTATTTGTGAGAAACTAACATTGTATATTGTGTATTTTGAACTCACCTACACATTGTGATATTTTTCTTTATTATTATTATTGTTTGAGCTGCCTGATTTTATTCCTAATCATGTGTACATTGATAATGTCTTCAAATATTTGTTTTAGTATTTATTATTCTCTTGAGCAGTGTGCACACAAATTTGAAATTTTGTTTGTTTTGTATGTCATTACACACTTGGTCAGTTGTTACTCGCAGCAGTGCCTTAATTATATGATATTGTGTGTGTGTCCTTGATTGCCAGTGTGTTACTGTGTGGCTTGTTTGCTTTAATAGGTGGCACTTTTTTGGTGTGCTGTGTGTTTTATTGAGTTTGTTTAATGTGCATGTGTCACTTTGTTTGAATATATATGTGTGTGTGTGTGTGTGCCATTATGTGTCACATTGGGCTCACAGTCTGTTCCTCTGTTTAACTTTAACCTGTGAAACTAGTTCAGTGTCATGGATGGAATCTAGTCCAGCAGCTTTGGTGTCTTTGATCATCATTCTTCTTAGGGTTTCTTCTTGGCATCCTTGCCTTCCTAGACCCTTTATTTCCCATTTTTATGCTGTTTGGTGATTTTCTGCTGGTTTCTTCTCAGGATATGTGAAATGTAGCACCATCTTCTTTGTATTATAAGTTTTGAAACTAGTGGTTGTCCAGACAGTTCTCTTTTTTCTGCATTCCTTTTGAATTCATCCAGTTTTCATCATTTTCCTCAGACATTTGTTTTTGAAGGCATTTAACTTTTGTTCCATGTCTATAGAGGTTCTCCAGAAATCATTGGTATATGTTAAAAGTGTCGGCTCTGTGGCTAAGTCGATGCAAATGCTTCATAATGCCGGGGTGCCGGGTTTGATCCCAGCTGCGAGCCATGCAGCCTTGCGTTGGTTTCGACAGTGGTATCATATCAGAGAGCCGACCGTCCAGAAATAATGGCAAACTACTGGACCTAAATTTGCCTAGAGAAACCACACAATAGCCAGGGGCTGCTTGAGTTGGTTCTGCAACGTCCTGTAAATGTTACAAGTGAAATAACATCATAACTGAAAATAGGTAACTTAGTTTTAAATCTATAGTATTTAGTTCTGTATATTGTTCAGACTAGTAAACACTGTTGATGCCTTGCCAGTGCTTGTCATAATTTTTTTCTTTGCATTTCCTTTACTATCAAAATACTAAGTAAATTGATTTGTTACTTTAATTACTGTTGTCTCTGATGTTACGTTTGCTTGATCTGTTGGTAATGTCTTTAATATATTTCTCTTTACATAACTTATTTGTTATCCAACCCTTGATGCTGTATTTGCTAAATCAACTGTTTTCCTGTGCGTATGTGTATGTATATATATATATATATATATATATATATATATATATATATATATATATATATATATATATATATATATATATATATATATATATATATATATGTGTGTGTGTGTGTGTGTGTATATGTGTATTTCTCCACCCCTTCTGGATTTCAAGTTACCTTTTAACCCCGCTGACCCCAGTATGACCTTACCAGTGAACAGGGCTTCTGGGTT